AGATCACAAGTAGGCAGAGAGGCAGGCAGAGGGAGAGGGAGAAGCAGACCCCCCGCTGAGCAGGGAACCAGACGCAGGGCTCGATCCCAGGACCCCGAGATCATGACCTGAGCTGAAGGCAAATGCTTAACCGACTGAGCCACCCAGGAGTCCCAAAATTGATATTTTGGACCTGAGGACAGGCCCTAGTGTCCATCACTTCGCCTTCCCGTCTGTCCGTCTTGTTCTCAGCATGTGGGAGGGGCATATGGGCCTCTTGGTCCCTGTGTCGTGGGGTGACCAGCGGTCTCCGTTTGCCTGGGATTGAGGGGTCTCCCAGGACAGGGGACTTCCTGTGCTAAACTCAGAGAGGTTCGGAGCGAACCAGGGCAAGCTGATCAGCCTAGCTGTGCATCAGCCATGGCTTCAATCAGCTGATCTTTCTGTCCTCCCCCCGCCCCCATCCTGGTGAGTGTGAGGATTACAGTTCTCCTGCCACTTCTTGAAGGACAGGAGCAGGCCTGAGAACAGACAGACAGACATACCGACCTTATCCTCAGTACCCACCGGCTGGGGGTCCTTGCCTCTGTGATGGAGGATCACAGAAGCAGAGAGGGTGACACACACTGGTGCCCCACCCCAGACCAGTGTCCACGGGCGCTGGTGCTGGGGTCCTGAGCCGCGAGAGGAGCACCTGTCCAGGACGCCTGGCTGACCCAGCAGCCTCCGTCACTTTCAGTTCCTGGACCATTCCTCTGCGATCCGAATGCATCCAGACTTGCCGTGTCGCACATTGCCTTTATTTTTTAATTTTTTTTATTTTTTGAGAGCCTTCCAAGCCCAAACTTGTCACTCTGCGTATAGCTTGTGACCGTCCCAGTTCCTGCCACCCGTCACACTGGCTAGTTCCATGAATATTTGTTGCATGCCCATGAAAACCCAAGCAGGCGTTCGAGGCAGCGGGCATCCCGTGAACCTGGCAGGCGCGGCCCCGGCCCCCCCAGGGCCCCCATTCCTGCTGGGGAAGTCGGGCGAGAAGCACATGAGCAAGTCCCTTCAGATGGCAGCAGATTCTGTGCGGAAAAGAAGAGACGGGGAGCTGGTGTGAGGGGTCTGCTATGCGGTCAGGGACGGGGTGCAGAGGAGCTGGGGGTCGGGGTTGATGGAGCGAGGGGCAGGCCTGGAAGAGCCCGCTGCACGGGGGGAACCACAGGCATAAGGCCCGGAGAGGGGAGTGCAGGTGGCATGTGAGGGACACGAGGAGGATGGAGCCAGAGCCCAGCGCGGAGCGGAGAGGGCCAATGGGCCAGAGAAGGCAGGTGGGCCCGGCTCACACAGCACCTATGCTCAGAGCTGTTACTTCGACTCTTCCAAGCAGGACAGTGGCGTGAGACTGACGTGGCTGCTCTTGGCAGGAGGGACCGTGGCGACGAGAGAAGGGCAGGGAGGCCAGCGAGGAGGCCTGGCCATGGAGTGGGCGAGCAAGGATGGTGGCCTGGGTGGGGAGGGGGCCCTGGCGGTGATGAGAGGCGGACAGATCTGGGTGCTTTCCGGAGCCACGTGGGCAGCATTCTCCCTGCATCGTTTTAGAAGCGAGGGACAAGGGAGCCGGGGACGAGGCCTCAGTGTGAGCCCGAGTACCCGAGTGGCTCGCTGGGGAGGAGCAGGTCTGAGTGGGACACGTGGGGCCTGCTCCCGGTGAGTTGCTTCTTAGACATTGAAAAGGAGGAGGCGGCAGAGGAGGTGGCGTTCAGGGAGAGGGGAGGGAGAGAAACCGATAGTCACCAGCCTCCAGGTGACATTAAGCCAAAAGATTGCCTGGCAGAGAGGGACAGAATTGGACGGGGAAGAGGAGGGGCCAGGACCGAGCCACAGCCTGCCAGCGGTTGGGTTAGCAGTCAGGGTTAGCGGTCGGTGCCTGAGGTCGGGTTAGCGGTCGGTGTAGGAGGTCAGGGTTAGCGGTCGGTGCCGGAGGTCGGGTTAGCGGTCGGTGCCCGAGGTCGGGTTAGCGGTCGGTGCCGGAGGTCGGGTTAGCGGTCGGTGCCCGAGGTCGGGTTAGCGATCGGTGCCCGAGGTCGGGTTAGCGGTCAGTGCCGGAGGTCAGCGTTAGCGGTCGGTGCCGGAGGTCAGCGTTAGCGGTCGGTGCCGGAGGTCGGGTTAGCGATCAGTGCCCGAGGTGGGGTTAGCGGTCGGTGCCGGCGGTTGGGTTTTGGTCATAGCCAGCAGGGCAAATGTCCGGGAGGTGGGAGGTAAGCCAGGTGGGTGGCCCCCTGGCAGCCTCGGGAGAAGTGTCTGTCGGGGGAGAGAGGATGCTTGCTCACAGCATCCCTGCTCGCCTCCTGGCCCTTGCAGGCCTTGTCCACCGAGGAACCCAAGGGTCGCTGACAGTTGCTCCCCACCTATGCCCTGCTTCAGGAGCCAGCTGCCTGTTCCCCGACGTGACGCTTCTCGTGTCCTCCCCTGGGTGCCCCAGAGCAGCACTTGGGTGCCTCCAGCCTTGCCCAGCCCTAGCCTCTGTGCTGTGCGCCCGAGGGCTCCACAGTGGCTCCCGTCCTCACCGCCCTTTCGACCCCCTGACCCCCGGGACGCTCTCCTGTTTATGCTGGCCACTCAGTGCCTCCTGGTTTACTGCTCTCATCTTCCTGTTCTCTATTCTGCATAGTTTGTTGGTTTTATGGGGTGGTTTTCTTCCCGGCCCCAGGGCTCTTGCGCCTCTGGCCCATGCCCAGCTGCTCCAGCCGCATGGAGCCCGCCCCCTCCCAGAGGCCCCGGGCCTTTGCAGGAGGGTCTTCTGCCGCCTCCCGAAGTGCATCCACCTTCCCCCGGACAAGGAGCTGGGGGCTAGCCCAAGCCGAGCCCCCCTTTCCTCCCTCCCTCCCTCCCTCCATCCTTCCCTCCCTGCGTCCCTGGTTCCTTCCTAAATGGATTAGGACTTTGCAGGAAGGAGCCACCAGCTGTCTGGGGCGGCCCGGAGGCCAGGGCTGTCTGGTGCCTCCTGCTTTGCCCTGATTCAATTTGGGCCAGGAGGCTGGCAGGCTGAGGTCTTTCTGGGAATGGCTCGAGGGGGTGGCTGAAGGGAGGGGAGAAGCCTTCAAGCGCCCCAGGCAGGCAAACCTCTCCGCTGGTCACACGGTGGACCCTCCAGTGGGCTTTGTGCCGCACAAGGCCCCAGGCTCTGGCCACCGGCTGCCTGTGGCCCCCATGAGGATGTCCCCTACATGGCCTGTCACACATCCCTTAATGCTGTGGACTTCAAACATTTATAAAATTGCAACCTGGTTGAAGAAATACATCTTGTAAACATTTCGAAGTGAACCCAATTCACATGTTGGCCAACTGCTGACTGGCCAGTTGTTAAAATCAATATTTATTCACAGCCAAATAGCAGACTCGGGCCAGACCTGAGGTGGGAGCCAAGCTCGAGTGCTTTCCTAATTCCTTTGTATGTTTCCACAACAGCAGTTGGGACACTTCGCACCTTGTTATGTGTGATGCACTCGTTCCGTATCACCGGTTCCACGACTCACGAAAGGCCTCCAGTCTGTGGTGTGGACCGCGCCCCGCCTTGGCCCGTTGCGCACGGCGGGCCCTGAGCTGGGCCCTGGGGGTGCAGCAGTGACTGGCAAGCCGGTCCCTGCCCTCACAGAGCTTATGGTCCAGGGGGCAGCTGCGGTGGCAGAAGACACTCTGGGCTTGGCACCCTTTAAGACATCGGGCCTAGCTGTCAACCTGCCCGGTGCCCCCACCCCCCATCAGCAGGAAGGAGGGAGGCCAGGATCCATAGACTCTGAGGCCCTCAGCCCTGCTCCCTGCTCGCACCCCTGACCTGGTTGCCAGCACCTGGCCTGGGGCCCGTGCACAGAGCATTAGGGGAGCTGAGCCCAGAGAGGGAAACCGAGGGTCCCTGCCTTCGAGGAAGGGCACTGGGGCAGCCTGTGGGTGGCCCCCCGGACCTGCCTCCTCGGGTTCTGGTAGGGGAGGGGCAGGACGGAACCGGATGCAGGAGAGGCTGACCTTTGTGTCTAGTGGGTGCCCAGGCTGGACCAGGTGGTGCAAGGGCAGCAGGCCTGTCCCCTGCCTCGAGCCCTGGCATTGGGCCCTGGTCTGAGGGCACTCCAGCAAGGGGAGGGTGCACCTCTGTCCTCCAGGAGCCTCATGACAATGGGGCAAAGTCCTGTCTTGGGGGAACCCTGTCCTGAGATGAAGTGGCCTCCACTATCTTTCTGAACCTCTGAGACTGGGGCTCGCGGGCCTCGGGACAGTGGCCTTGCCCATTGCAGCTTGGTAGAAAGCTGTGACAGAGGAGCCTGGGGACATGTGGGAGGCCAGCCAGGACAGCTGGCCCAGCCAGGGCGGGAAGGGGCAGGAGGTGGGGCCGTTGAGGGCACCCTCTCAGCAGGGGTGACAATTAAAAGCTGAGTGGGCTGTCGGCAGATGACAGAGGAACCCAAAGGCCACTCGGGTCAGGGAGAGGGAAACCTGTGACAGTTGGGGCCCCATGAAGGACGTGGGTATGTTTGGGGGACGGTGATTCTTAGAGCACCCGGAGTGTGGGGTGTGGAGGGGGAGTTGGGCGAGGGGCAGGAGTGCAGAGCTAACGTGGGCAGTAGGGAGCCATGGAGGGTGTGTGAGCAAGGGAGAGCCACGGCCAGAGCTACGTGCAGGGGAAAGTTGGCAGTTGAGGTGCCAGGAGGACTGGTCATCGTACTGGGCTCAGCCCTGGAGTTGCAGATTGGGGGACATGCCATGGAGCGAGCGCACTCCTCAGTTACCCTGCCGCGTGTGCCCGTGCCTGCCCGGAGCTGTGTGCGGCCTCCTCCCTAACTAGGCCCTGCGGGGGGGATCTAATGCCTTCATGCGTCTAACCCCTTGGGGAAAGGGGAGGCCAGCCCTTGGTTCATCCCACCCTGGAAGTAGAGGCGGCCCTGGGGTTCTGAGGGCCTGGCGGGGTTGGGGTCGGCATTCGCATGGGGGCCACGCCCTGGGGCACACGCCCACCTCCGCGGCCTCCCTCCATCCAGGTGACCATGGCCTTGTTGGGGAAGCGCTGCGACATTCCCGCCAACAGCTGCGGGCCTGACCGCTGGAGCTCCGCCTTCACCCGCAAAGACGAGATCATCACCAGCCTCGTGTCTGCGTTAGATTCCATGGTGAGTGCCCCGGTCTGCCCCGGAGGGGCGGAAGTCCCGGCCTTTGTCAGCAGACTTCGAGCTCGAGTCCCACCTCTGCCACCTCGGGCGGAGGGAGGGAGGGAGGGGTCTTCGACCCCCTGGGACTCACTGTCCCCATCTGCCTACATGGGGGAGGGAGGCAGGGGGAGGCTTGAGTGGGGCCAAGGATGTGAAAATCCAGCCCTGGAATTCAGCACTGGCCCTGGGCCCCTGGTCCCCTCACCCCTCATCCTCATTTCATCACCTTTTGCCATTCAGGTCCCATCCCTGGGAAGGTCACAGGTCTCCGAGGAAAGGACCTGACTCATGAGAAAGCTGTAATCCCCGATGTTAAAGCACGAGCTATAACTGCATCTCGGGCCCGGGAGAGAGAAACGCCTCGTAAATCACTCCTTTGGCACGATTGCTTACGTACCTAAGCCTGCAGTGGTTTATTCCAAATGAGGAAATTATAATGTCATTTTCCTGTAGGTTTTTCCTGGGGGGGGGACGTTCTGGGACAGAGTAAGGGGGTGTTAGAAGCTGTCTGGCGTCCGTTAGCTGCACCCCTGCATGTTAGGATGGTGAAATTGGAGTTCAGAGAGGGCAGCACCTTGCCTGGAGTCACACAGCATGGCCAGTTTTGTGTTTTGTGTTTTTTAAGATTACATTTATTTGAGAGAGAGAAAGTGAGAGAGAGAGAGAGAGCACAAGCAGGGTGGGAAGGGGCAGAAGGAGAGGGAGAAGCAGGCTCCCCACTGAGCAGGGAGCCCGACACGGGGCCCGATCCCAGGACCCCAAGATCATGATCTGAGCTGAAGGCAGACTGAGCCACCCAGGCGCCCCGACAGAGCTTTTCCATCCTCATAGAAAGTTCTGTTGGGCAGCACTGCTCTAGAGGGGAGGAGGAGGAGCAGGGCCCCCGTAGCTCGCCTGGTGGCGGGGACGAGACCTGCTCCCCTGTCCTTAGGTCCCTTCCTGGGTTTCCTGACGGACCCCAAGGGTGATGATGACCCTTGCTCGGCAGTGACTGGATGCTGGCATCCTCCAGGGCTGGGGCCTGGGTCCTCGGGTGGTCTCCAGGGGCTGTGGGGCAGACCCTCTTCCAGGCCTTTCCTCCAAGCCCTGTTCTTTGTGCCTCTGGGGAAGCCGATTCCCTGGAGAGTGACCACACAGGGAAGTAAGTATCTCTCCAGCTCGGATGGCCACTCGTGTGTTGGGAACAACTGACTCTATTTGTCTCCTTTGCTTGTTAACGTTTTGCAGCATTGCCACAGGGAGAGCGAGCGGCAGGTTTTTATTTTAATCTTAGCAGGAAATCAACACACACCCTTCACCGTAGGAGGTCTCCGGGGACAGGCCTTTCAGCTCCACAATGTCCCCGGCTTCCTCAGCAGAGTGACTCTGGGCTGAAGCTGAGAGGCATGATTATGGCCCAGAGAGGTTGAGGAACCTGTCCTAGGTCACACAGCAGCAGAACTGGGATGAGAAGCCAGACTCCCTGACTGCCCAACAGAGCGCTACCAAACTCTCATAAAAACCAGTGTTTACAGGGCGCCAAATGCATGCTGAGAGCTTTGCAGGCAGAGATCTTCTGCTGATCTAGGTCGGAGGTCTGAGATGCTGGTGGTCTTGGTTGCAGGGCCCCTGTGTTAGGGCTTCCCGTGCAGGGGGCCTGCCAACCCCTCAAGTCTGGGGCTGCAAAAATGACCTCTGTTTGTGAACCCACAGGAGATACCCCTGTTTAGAGATTCCTTCCTGCCTGCCAGGCCTCGCTGAATCCCTACAGCCAAGCCCATTGAAAGCCTGGGAGCTGGGCTGCCTGTCCCCATTCTGCAGATCAGGCCCAGAGAGGGGAGTAACGTGCATCAGTCCCACAGCAGGAAGTGGCTGATGTGGGATTGAAACCTGGATCTGCTCAAGCCTTGATTCTCCTGGACGCCCCCGCCGCCCCGCCTCACCTCCTCTCATTTAGGACTTTAAGAAAACCAGACAGGATTGTTCTGGGGCTGGGGCCAAGCCTCAGGCAGGAACCCCTCTAGAGCCAGGAGGACCTGGGAGGAGGGAAGGGCAGGGGCCCTGTGTCTTTGTTCTTCTGGGGGCTCCATGACCTGTCTTCTCCCTTGACCTTGGCCAAGCTTTGGGTGGGGGGTGTCATTCACTCCTTCCTCCTGCAGACTCCGACTGAGAACCGTGGAGGGGTGACCTCTCCCTGGAGCTGCTGGTGGGATCTTAGGCAGCTGGGAGCTTCATCCCACCCCCAGAGCTGTCACCGGAGGTGTCCCCGAGCTGGGGGACTTCCTCCCGGCTCACATACCCCGCTCCCCCTGCAGTGCTCGGCGCTCTCCAAGCTGAATGCAGAGGTGGCCTGTGTTGCTGTCCATGATGAGAGCGCCTTCGTGGTGGGCACCGAGAAGGGGAGAATGTTCCTGAACACACGGAACGAGCTGCAGTCCGATTTCCTCAGGTTCTGCCGTGAGTACCCCAGGGCTCCAGTGGGTGGGGCCTGCGGTCCCTGAGGGTCCCCAGAGCAATTCCAGGGGGCCTTGTGTTGGGGGCTGTGCGGGCTTCCCAGTGTGGCGTCACCGGGGCGTGACTTCTCCAGCAGCCCCTCAGTCCATAGAGACCAGCTGACTCCACCCCGGGGCGGGCCAGACCCAGACACGTCCGCGTGCTCGTTGGCAGAAGGGGACCCTGAGGCCTGGTGTTGCCTCTGACACACAGGGACCCAGTGCCCTTGTTCAGCTAACGCTTATTGAGCACCTGCTGTGTGCAGCACCCTTTTCGCCACGCTAACTCAGTTATCCCGACGTCAACCCTGTGAGGTAGGCACTGTCGTTGCTATAGTAACGATCTGGAGCCCCCTCGTGGTGGCTCTTGGGGACGAAGTGACTGAGGACACCGGCAGCACGAGGGGAATGCTTGATATCTCGAGCGGTTAGTGGTGTTGCGATCAGTACTGCTTTGAGCCAGGCCGCGTGCTCTGTTCACTTTCCCCAGCAGGCTCAGGAAACCGCACCCAGTTTACAAGGGAGAAACTGAGGCACGGTGAGCATGAGCCACTTGCCCAGGGAGACACAGCCGCCACATGACGGAGGCCAGGTTTCTGTTCTGAAACCCGTGCTCTTTGTGCTGCACCCCTTCAGAATGGGGGAGGTGTAGCAGGACGCTCCCCCCCCACTCCCCCCGGGAGCCCTGCCAGGGGTTCCTGGTCACTTGCAAAAGAGAACAGCACTCAGAGCTGGGAGCCGGGAGCCCTGAAGCAGGGGGGTCATTCTGAAGCCCCCAACTCCTCAACACTACTGTTGGGGCCTTTAGACCCTCGTAACCCAGCCCCTGCCTCTGTGTCACCCCTCCCGGCATCCCTCGCTGCAGGCGGTCCTGGGCTGAGTGGTAGCTCACCGGCTCTGTGTGCATGCTCCCCTCTGCCTTTGTCCCTGCTGTCCCCCCACCTGGGAGGCCCTCCCTCCTCTCCTCTGCCGGCAGACGCCTCCCCAGCCTCCGCGTCCACGTTCCTCCCGCCTGCCCGGGCCCCTGTCTGTGCCCCCCACCCCTAGTCGCCAATCCTCCCCCGCCCCACCGCCCCAACCCCTGTGGTTACTCCCCACACTGTGCTGGCTTCTCGTGTCCTAAATTTCCATCCGTGCTCCTGGTAAGCTCGTCATCTTCACCTTTTTGGTGGATTAGACCCTACAAGGTTAGGGCCTGGCTGCAGCACTGAAGGCCAGTCCCTGAGCAGCTGCTCAAGCCCACGAGTTGGGACTCTGAGCTCTTAGGGTTAAGAGCAGGCCCTGAAGGCAGGCGTCTGGGGCTCCGTCCCGGCTCTGCTACCTGCCGGCTGCTGGACCTCAACCTTCTTGTCTATGAAAGGGGAGGACAGTGCTGCCCTCCTCGAGGGTCGATCTGAGGATTAAGTCGATCTCATACAGGCGAGAATAGTGCCTGAGATTGGGTTCACACACAGTAAATGCTAGCCATTGTCCTTGCCATTATTAACGTCTGCGTTACACCCGGGGTCTGGGGCCTCCATCAGCCGTTTCGGGGAAGGCTTGCCCCCAGCACTGGGCATGTCATCACTGGGGTCCGGCTGCTTCCCCGGCCGCTCCCGCCCCCGCCCAGCTCTCCGAGCCTGTCCTCTCTCCGAGGTTGGGTGGGGGCTGGCCCAGGGTAGAATAGACAGTGGCCGGGTCCTGTGGCCCCAGGCTGGCGAGGCTGGGGCCTGCGGAAGGTGCACCTGGCTTCCCGAGCCCAGCAGGGCGACTATTTATAGCTGGTTTATTTCAAGCTCCGCAGATCCCCGGAGAGGAGCAGGCTCCCAGCTGCGAGGGGGCCTCCGGGCCCTCCCCTCGTCCCCTTTCCAGTGCAGTGTCTAGCATCTCCCTATCCAGGGGTCCACTGACACTCCCAGGGCCCCACCCTGGCCCAGCCTGGCATGAACTTGCCTCTTTGCAGCCCCTTGGCCTCCTGCTGGGGTCCCCATTGTCTCCTCACGGGGCAGAGCGGAAAACTGGGGCCTCGACTGTTTAAGACAGCATTGGGGTTGGAGCACAGAAAGGGGTGCACGGAACAGACATTGGCCGAACCCCGGTTCTGAGCCACGCCAGCTGGTCTTCTATGAGAGCTCGCAGACTGAGGCCCAGAGAGGGAACGGACTTGCCCAAGGTCACACAGCGAGTTAGAGGTGACCAGGATGAGACCCAAGCCCTGTGTGAGGCACTGGGAACTCAGAGATGACCAGCCTTGGCCCTGGGCAGGGGGTTGGGGCAGGGCTTGCTCACTCGTCATTCATTCCTCCATTCCTTCATTCCTTCCTTCCTTCCTTCATTTTCTACTCCATGTTGAGTGCCCCGCTGCAGGGTTCAGCACGGGGCAGGGACATCTCAGCTCACTGGGCAGGGGTGAGACAGGTGCTCATCCTGGCCCGGCATGCTCTGTGTCCCACAGGAGGGGCCCCCTGGAAGGAGCCAGAGACAGAGCATCCCAAGAAGGTGTCGCGGGGCGAGGGTGGCGGCCGGAACATCCCTCGGTCTTCCCTGGAGCATGGCTCGGACGTGTACCTTCTACGGAAGATGGTAGAGGAGGTGTTTGATGTTCTTTATAGTAAGATCCTTCCTCATTCCATTTGGGGCCCCCAGGCGGGTGGGAGCCCCCGTCCCCGCCCTGCTGAGGCGGCCCCTCCCTCATCTTGCATCCCCAGGCATGGCTCTTCTGCCCCAGCCCCATTTCCTGAACCGCCGTCCACACCGCCCCGGGCCGGCCCTGGCCCCTGGTCGCTGCCACCTTTCGCCTGGAAATGGCCCTGGGCTCGCCCTGGTCTCCTTGCCTCCAGGCCGGCTCCCTGTTGTCCCCACCTGCCCTGTGACCAAGGCCGTCTTCCTAAAGCACAAGTCTGACCAGAAAGCTCTTCTTTCCACGGCCTCGGGGGCTCCCCGTCGCCCTCCCCACAGTGGCCGGTCCCTGCTCCCCTCCAGCCATGCTGCCTTGCCTCACGAAACCGCTTCCTGTTCTCCGGCCCACTCTGGCTCCATTTCACACCTCGCCTCTGCACCACTGTGCCTTTCGCGACTGCCTTCCCCTCTGTCCGGCGGACACCGCATTATTTTCTAAGGCTCAGCTCTGGGAAGCCCCCGCTACTGGCTCAGTGCCCCCTAGGGGCACCCACTGTGCTCTGACCACTCACTAGCCCAGTGCCCTCTGGGACCGGGGTCTGTGCCTGCCCCTTCCACCAACCCTAGCGACAGCGGCCGACAGCGGCAGGGTGTTTGTTGAATGACTGAGTGAGAGCTAACTTCGCTAGTTAGCCAAGTCTTCCTCTGAGGGCTGGGGGAGGTGGGCAGGCCTAGCCTCCCTCACAAGTGGCCAGTTGCAGAATCTCTGGCCCAGTGGTAGCCGTCGCGGTCTCCAGGTGACCTTGGGCAGGTCCCTTTGGTTCCTAAGGGTCCCAGCTCTGACTTTCTTCCTTTCTGTACTGCAGCCTTTGGTTCTGTGGAGCAAAGGTCTGAGGAACCTCCTGCTGTCAGGAGGGGGAGGCCTAGGTGGAATGGGAGGCCCAGAGGCCCGGGGTGGGCACACTGGTCACCTGGGATGGGAGGACTTGTCACATGTGGTTGGCTTTGCCAGCTACAGGGCTCGTGCCCTCAACCCCCCCCCGCACCCCTGCCCACTCTGCCCTGCCCCCCACCCCCCCAGTTGCACACCTCGGGCGGCATCTGAGGTGAGCGGCCTCTTTCTGGCTCCGGGAGGGGCTGCAGTGTGGGAGTGACAACAGGCGTTCCTGAGCCCAGGCCCCTCAGCCATCCCACCCCGTCAGTCCCCAGTCAGTCTCCCCTCCACTCACCCCTTCCTCATCCCCACCACCTTTTGTCTATCTGCTTCCTCTCTTTCTGAATCTGCTCTTCCCATTTCCTCTCACCTCCCTCTCCTCCTCCCTTCCGCCCTGTGGCTCTTTTCCCTGCGGTCTCTGCCGCCCTCCTTTCTCTCTCCCCCGTGGCTCCTCCTGAGCTCCTGCCCACAGCCCCGCGCCCTGCTCTGCCCTCCACCCAGGTGCCCAGAGAGGGGAGAATGGCGAGAGAAGCTGGGAACCCCGGCCATGGGGGAACCCCGGCCCTCAGGTGCACACAGAGGGGCCTGCCTCCAGCGCTCACCTGCCCCGCTCAGCCTGCAGGGCCTTGTTCTGTGGGACGTTCGCAGGGAAGGGGCCCATGGGGTCCAGTTTCCTGGGAACCCGGCACCACAGAGAGTGACCTAACATGGCCCCAGCTCTGGGGCAAGGCTGGCCCCCGGCCCAGCCTGGCTGCCCTCTCATACTAGACCCTCTCCTCGACCCCCTCCCCCACAGGCGAGGCCCTGGGAAGGGCCAGCGTGGTGCCCCTGCCCTACGAGAGGCTGCTCAGGGAGCCGGGGCTGCTGGCCGTGCAGGGGCTCCCCGAGGGCCTGGCCTTCCGGAGGCCGGCCGACTATGACCCCAAGGCCCTCATGGCCATCCTGGAGCATAGCCACCGGATCCGCTTCAAGCTCAAGAGGTGAGTGAGGTAGTCAGCCTGGGAGTGGGCCCAGGGAGGGTGGCTGGACCATGAGGGTCAGGCCAGGACAGGCCAGGGAGGGTGATCTGCTCCCATGCTGGCTCAGCCTGGGGCCACTCACCCAGTCACGGGGAGGGGACTTGAGACACCCGCGGGGGACCCCGGTTGTAAAAGCTCCCAGTCCGGCAATGGAAGTGAGGCAGATGCCCAGGCATAGAGCATGATCTGAGCACGGGATGGGGGCGTGGGGCGCACGGGGGCCGAGGGGCAGGGCCCAGCTCCTCTAGTGGCCCAGCCGTGTGGCCCTGGGCACATCACAACCCCGCCCCGGGCCTGGACCCCCAGCTGTAAAATGGGGACCAGCTCCTGGCCCGTGTACCTCACAGGCCATCATGTTGTGCAGAGGGTGGGCTGGGGCCTGGCTGGCCAGGTGTATAAAGCTATCACGTGTCCTTCTCTCATTCACCCAGGCCGCTTGAGGATGGCGGGCGGGACTCGAAGGCCCTAGTGGAGCTGAACGGTGTCTCCCTGATAGCCAAGGGGTCTCGGGACTGCGGCCTGCATGGCCAGGCCCCCAAGGGGCCACCCCAGGACCTACCCCCCACCGGCACCTCGTCCGCTGTGGCCAGCTTTCTGTACAGCACCTCACTCCCTAACCACACCACGAGAGAGCTCAAGCAGGAGGCCCCCGCCTGCCCACTTGCCCCCAGCGACCTGGGCCTTGGCCGGCCTGGGCCTGAGCCCAAGGCCTCTGGGGCCCAAGACTTCCCCGAGTGCTGTGGTAAGGTGCTGCTGGGACCCCTGATGCCAGGGGTGGGACAGAGATCACTCCGGGGGGCGCCCTCCCTGGGCAGATGGGGGTGCTCAGGCCCACCCCAGGCTGAAGGAGGCATGTCGGGACAAGGGGCTGGGACAGGACCTCTGTGAACAGTATCATTGGCCTGGGACTGAGAGATGTTCGAGGGCACCCCACAGAGGAGTCTGTGGAGGGAGTAAGCAGGCTAATCAGTCACAAGCATTTAATGAGCACTGACGACATACCCAGCCTGGATTAGGGGTACCGAAAGCATAGGGGAAGGAACAGCTGGGTGTGAGAAAGACTTACATTCCTGTCCTGGCTCTTCCACCAGGCTGTGTGTCCCACAGCAAATCTCTACCTCCCTGAGCCTCAGTTTCCTCAGCTTTAAAGTCGAGATGCCAGTAGGACCTCTCACGAGGTTATTACCATGGTCAAATGACAAGGCAAGTTAGAAATGCACATTCTCAGGCCCTGCTGCCATCCTGCTGAATCTGAAGCTTAGGGGGCGGCTGGGGGCCCAGCCATCTGTGTATTTAAATCAGCCAGGTGGCTCCACTGGGTGTTCAGCCTTGAGAGCTGCTGTATTAAAGCAGAGTCCAGTGCTTGGTGCGTAGTAGGTGCTTATAAGTTGTACTTACCGTTAGGAGAAGGAGCAAAAGGGACTTCCCTCCCCCGCCTTTCCCATCAGATGTTGGGCTGAGCAGCGGAGTGGGACTTAGACACCTAAATAGGGGTCCCCACCTGTCCTCGGACATCGTCATCCTGGCCTCCCTGATCTGCCGTTTGGAGAGCAGACTCTGCCAAAGAATGTCTCAGGCCTCTGGGCAGGGAACTTGTCTTGAGTTTACGACCCTAGGGCTGAGTTCGGGGGTCTCCTTGGTGGATGAGACTGTTACCCCAGAGCCAGCGTCTCTGCACCCAGGCCAGATCTGGGGGCCCACCTTGAACCTGTACCTTTCCTCTCCCTTGTCCAGGACAGAAGCCCCCCGGGCCCGGTGGTCCTCTCATCCAGAACGTCCACGCCTCAAAGCGCATCCTCTTCTCCATTGTCCATGACAAGTCAGGTAGGACGGTGCCCACAGCAGCACCCCAACCAGAGTGGGGGGTCCGGGGCTGGGGATGGTGTGTCCTGAAATGGAAATGCGTCCACTGGGTCTTCGTGGGAGAAAGGAGGGATGGCTCCGCACAAGGGACGTGTGAGTAAAACCAGAGTGTAACAGTTGGGTATTGCTGTGTAGCAAGCTGCCCCAGGACTTAGCTCAAAACAGTGAGCGTTTATGCATTATAGTTTGTGTGGGTCCGGAATTCAGGAGCAGCTTAGCTGGGTGCTTCTGGCTCAGGATCTCTTTCTCATGAGGTTGGACTCAGGATGCCGGCAGCGGCTGCTGAAGGCCATTTGAAGACGAGAGGATCAAAAAATTATGTGGATGGGTTTTAAAAGTACCACACCGTATTTGGGATTCCTGTATACCAAAAGGGAGGAAGGGAGACTCTCCGGCAATTATGCCTGGTGGGGGTCTTGGCCTCGCCTTCAGTGAGAGGCTCTTTAAGAAGACCTAGTCCCCTGGGATCAGAGTGGAGACCCCCCCACTGTCCCAAACAGGGTCCATCCGTGGCAGGGAGGGGACCTGGAGATTCAGGTGCAGTGGCATCTCGGGAGGCCATGGTGGGCAAGCAGTACCAGCTGCGGTAGAATCTCACTGGGTGCTCGCTGGGTGATCTCAGGAGAGATACTCAGCCTCTCTGAGCCTGGTTTTCCTACCTGAAAAATGGGGATACTGTCTATGCTTAAAGATATCATGAGGGATTAAATAGGATATTCTGTATAAAATACTCAGGACAAATAAGCTCTTAATAATTAATTAAAGATGGGGGACCCCTGGGTGGCTCAATTGGTGAAACATCTGCCTTCGGCTCAGGTCATGATCCCAGGGTCCTGAGATCGAGCTCCACTTTGGGCTCCTTGCTCAGTGGGGAGCCTGCTTCTCTCTCTGGCTGCCCCTTCCCCTGCTGTGCTCGCTCTTGCTCTCTCTCTCTCTCTCTTTTTCTGACAAATAAAATCTTTTAAACAACAAAAATAATAAAGTAAATAAATTAAAGATGGCATTTATAATGGTATCATAATGAACCAAATGGTGACTCTAGTTATTAATAGTAAATTGAGGCAGAGGCTCTGGTTTCGTGGAAGAGGCCAGCAGGGCTGGGGGTTTGAGCGAGGCCACAGGGCCAAGGCCGGGTGTACAAGGCATGAGGGTTAGTGCCTTTGAGACCAGGACTCTGTGTCTCTTTACTCACACCCCCTGCCTATGGGGGCAGGAGACACCCAGGAGGGCCAGGCTGAGCTTGCGTAATCCGCACTGCTCCTGGGGGCTGACAGAGGCGAGAGAAGAGAGCAGGGTGCGGCGGTGGGGGGACCACCCGAGCACCCTGGATTTGGGCAGGGTTGCCTCCTGGAGGAGGCTGGGATGTCAAGGGCCGAGGCGGGAGTGAGCGGAAGAGCTGAGCCCCTCTGTGGGACTCTGGAGGAGAGAGCCTGGTGGCCTCCAGTGTGGCCGTCTCCGGGGCCCCCGGGCCCAGCTAGGAGGGTCCAGTGGAGGGGGAGGCGGCCGGGCCGTGGGTTCCCTGCCGCGACCCGCCCTCACTCGTACCTCTTGTGTTTTGATAGAGAAGTGGGACGCCTTCATAAAGGAAACCGAGGACATCAACACGCTCCGGGAGTGCGTGCAGATCCTGTTTAACAGCAGATATGGTGAGTGGGCGGTGCGGCCCGCTGCGTGGCCTCGGCAGTGTGTTGAGCATCTCATTACGTGGCAATCACTCGTGTTCCCTAACATGACAGCAGGAGCCATATGCTGGCACCCATTCACCGGCCGCGCTCATGTCATCTCCTGTCTGGGTAGGGGGTGGTTCTGTCAATATTGCCCTTCCAGACTTTTCCAGGGGGCGGAACTGATGGCAGAGCCCCAACTCGACTCACCTGTGGGACGCGGCGGGGTGGGCAGGGGGGACCCTGCAGGGAAGACCCGGGAGAGTGGCCGGCGGCCCCACGCGCTGCATGTTCCCCACAGACTGCGCCCAGAGCCCTGGCCTTGGTGCTGGGCCCTCTGCCTGATGTGCCCTTTGCGTGTTTGTGGAGTAGACTCCCACTTGTTCCTCGAGACTCAGGCTGGGCCAGGAGGGGTCCCCAGAGCCCTAATGGGCTCCTTTTTGCTGCACATCCTGCATTTGATGCGCCTTGTCTGTGTCTGTTCCCCGGGGTGGGGGGGGCAGGACTGCGCCGGCCCCTCTGTGGGTCCCCGGCACCCAGGATCGCGCAGGGCCCAGAACGCATGTCAGCCCTCTCTGCACATGGGGGGTGGGGGGAGCACTGGGGCAGGTGTGTCCTCCACGTGGTCCCGCTTTGTGCCGCGCTGCGTGGAATGTGAAGCCACCGTTGGCTAGAAGGCAGGGGTAGGACCAGGTGGCCTGTAAGACCGTCCTGCTCTGGGTACTCGGACACCGCTCGCCCGCACCCCCGCCGTGCGCTCCCACACCTGTCCCTCTCGTCTCCCTGGCAGGCCTTGCTCACTCGGCCTTTATGGGGCTCCCCCTGTAAGCTCCCAGCAGGCGATGGCCATGGTGTAGCCCTTGTCTGGGTGGGTGGCTCTCAGTACGGGGACATGACACACGTCCCCATGGATCCCCTGGTGTCACCCACCACCCCCCGAATGGTGCCACTTCCCGCTGTGGGGAAGTCCCTCTGCCCATGGGGCCAAGGGAGGGCAGGGACGGTCGCCACCCAGGCCCGCAGACAGAGAGGAGGGCAGGGACCCTAGGAGCTTCCTAAACACACAAGGTCCAGGAGGAGCACAGCACTGGGAGTCCACAGCCACTTGCCCCAGGCGACCAGGAGGAGTTGGCCGCCTCCCTCTCTAACCTTGGCCTTCTCACCTGAAGCAAAAGGGACAGGGTGGGGCTTTACCCTCTTCTCTGTCCTCCTGTCTTTCTCACCTCTCTCTCCGTCTTCCTCCCTCCCCTCCTGCCTCGCTAAAGGAAAACCCTCTCTCTAATACTTCTGACACCCGAAGAGGGGGTTTTCCACAGCAAGCAGTGCTCCCTCTGGGTGTCCTACAGTTCAGTCCTGACACTGACCACTGGCAGCGACGCAGAGCCTGCAGGTTAAGGGCTCAGTCCCACAAGACGGCCCCGCAATTAGGGGTGGGGTCCCCAGGGCACCCACACATCCACCGTTCCCGTGACCTCCCCTCAGGTTCGGACAGTCCGCTGTAAGGGCAGCTAGAACTCGGAAACACTTTATCTGTCTTTACCTGTTTATTATAAAGGGTACAGATGAGCAGCAAGGTGACGAGGCACATAGAGTGAGGTCCACAAGGGTCTCGAGAGCAGCAGCTTCTGTCCTGGTGGAGTTTGGGGGTGCACCCTCCTGGCACATGGATCCACCAACCCGGAAGCTCTCTGAAGCCCACATTTTGAGTTTTTACAGAGGTCCCATTAAGTAGGCAGGATTGATTAAAACATTGCCCCCTGGGGCGCCTGGGTGGCTCAGTTGGTTAAGCGACTGCCTTCGGCTCAGGTCATGATCCTGGAGTCCCGGGATCGAGTCCCGCATCGAGCTCGCTGCTCGGCAGGGAGTCTGCTTCTCCCTCTGACCCTCTTCCCTCTCGTGCTCTGTGTCTCTCACTCTCTCTCTCAAATAAATAAATAAAATCTTAAAAACAAAAACAAAAAAACATCGCCCCCTGGTGATTAGCTCAATCTCGGCCCCTCTCCCCTCCTGGGGGTGGGGTGGGGGGAGGATCGAAAGTGCCAACCCTCTGATCACGTAGTTGGTTGCCCTGGCAACGGGTCCCCATCCTGAGGGTGCTGGGGACCTGCCCCTCGTTATCATAAACTCGGGTGGGTTGAAGGGTTTATTAGGAAAAATAGGACTCTGTCGTCAGCGCTGTCACTCAAGGAAATTACCGGGGGTTTGGGAACTCTCAAGCCAGGAACCAGAGCTGAGGACCACATGACTTCTTGGGTCACCTGTCACACTTGCCCCCTCCCCTCTTTTCTCTTCTCATGCATTTACTGGTTCGCTCACTTACCAGTCACGCATTTTCAGCTCCCCCCACCCAACCTTGTGCTAGGTGCTGAGGCCCACGCTGGTCTCAAGGTGCTTCGGCAGGTGCCTGAAGATGTGTCTCCAGGTGTTTTCAGCAGCGTGCAGCGGGACGAGACAGTGTACAGTAATACGCGGGGGTGGGGGCCCTCGGAAAGACAGGACAGCTCAGAAAAGGGTGAGGTCTCCACAGGCTTGAGGAATCAGGGGTGGCTTCATGGAGGAGGTGCCCTTTGATCCACACTGGGGCTTTGGCAGCCTGCACCTTCTGGGGTGGGGTGGGGCTGAGCAGGGCTCTAGAGGCCTGGTGAGGAGTCTGGGATAGCCTGAGCACCTTTGATAACCTTTGCTGTGGTCTCTCTGGCCGACCCACTCCTCCCCTTCTCCTCCCCTACAGGCAGGTGCGAGCTGGATGGGCAGTAGGGGGAGGGGATCTGGGGAGGGCTGGCTCCGACTGCCTTGGGAGCGTTCTGCCTTAGCCAAGTTGGCATGGCAGCCGCCAGGCTTCCTGCCTATTGTGTACTCTGGATGTTTCCAGAAAGCTGAGCCTTTTGTGGATGCCAGCACTTGGCCTCGCCGCGTCCAAACCCAAGGAGGAGCACTGGGCTTGGAGTGCCTGAGGCCTTGCCCCTTCTCAGGCCAGAGCTCCGTCTGAGCTTCCCCTGCAGCTGCCCTGGGGAGAAGGAAGCTCCCCAGGAGGACTGGGGATGTCCCTGGGGGTGAGGACCTTGTGTGGCAGCCTGACGCATCCCGCAGACCCTGGACGAACGGATCCTGCTCCTGGGTCTGCCCTTCCAGCCACCAGCTCTGGGTGAAGTGGGCCAGCAATGGGGCTGGGGGTGCAGCGGGGGAAAAAATAAAACGGAGAAGAAATGGGGGGGATCCTGGGAGATGGTTGAGTCTCTATGAGGGACGGAGGCTCCTGCCTGGTGGCTGCAGTCTCCCCCTCTCAGGGGCCAGAGGCTGGAGGCCAGGGGGGGTCACCTTCTGTCTGCTGGGTGTCCTCGCGGCTGAAGAGACAGGCCCAGCCAATGACATGAACCCGAGTGGAGACAAATGCACAGAGACTTGCCGAAGCCATCCTCACTGGCTGGGGCTTGGGGTGGGGGGTTGGGGAAAGAAATGGTTTGACAGCTGTTGAGATTTCGAGGGTTTAATTTGACAACGAGCTAAGTGTGGCTTCACAGTAGGATCTGGCTGCCAAAGCCGCCGACGCAGACCTGGCCTGCATCAACAGAAAAACAGTTCTTGATGGCGCGCCAGGGAGGGCCCCAGGCAGCCCTGCCGCGTCCCGGCCAGGGTGTGGCCGCAGGGGAGGCCAGCTCGGGGCTGGCACCTGTTGGGACACAGGCAAAGCCCCGGCAGAGGAACAGGGCCAGGATGGGGAGGGGCCTGAGGAAGGGCCTGGGGACGCGGGACCCTTGGGGAAGTTTGGAGGGACGAGGCAGGAGGGAAGTGGACCACCAGCCCTGCTCAGGTCTCCTGAGACCTCCCAGGCCCTGGGAGAACCGGGGACCCAAGAACCATCCAGCACATAGTAGGTGCTCAAGAAGTACTTGGTACCTGAATGAGTGGGAACTTGGAGGTGCGATGGAAGTGAATAGTTAAGGTGGCCCAAGACCGAACCCAAGGGTCTGGAAGGAAGAAAGGAACAAGTCACCATTTCCTAAGCCCGGATTCTGTCTACATTGCTGTTGGCAAAGTTGTCTGTGTCTCGTTTCTGTCCTTGATGAGTGAGAAGAATGTCAGCTGCCTCCCTGGAGGAAAGAGCACATCTGGGGGGCTGGAGGAGTCCTGCCGAGAAGCTTCCTTCAGCCATTCATTCGCTCATAGAGTGCAGGGAGGAGCTAGCCTATGTCCCATCCTGTGTAGATCCCAGCCGTGGAGCAGTGACCACCCCCTGCTCCCTTGGAGCTGACGTTCCAGACAGTGAACCAGCGTACAGACGAATATGTTTATAGTGTCAGGTCACAGTAAACGGGGGATGGAAAACAGAGCAGGGTGTGTCATGAGGAGATGGAGGGGGCTGTTGGCTGATGAGGTGACATTGGAGGGGACACTTGAATGGGGAAAGGGAGGAAGGGAAGTGAATGGTGATCTGGGAGAAGAGCCAGTAGCCAGAAGAGCATGTGCAAAGGCCCTGGGGCAGGTGTTGTGTCTGGCCTGTTAGGGAAGCAACAAGGAGGCTGGAAAGACAGCAGTGAAAGCAGGGACATCAGGTCAGAGGTGATGGGGTCCCGGTCACGTGGGGCCTCGTAAGCCCAGGTAGGACTTTGGCTGTCACTGAGGGGGATGGGAACCCATAGGCAGTTTTCAAGAGGAAGCACCATGTGCAGGGGAGGGGGGCGGGGGAAGGTCATGGTGACGGCGGCCCTGGGGCCCCCGCATGTCCCGCCGCTTCCGTCCCATGCTCAGCCTTGCCGTTGCCCTTCCAGCGGAAGCCCTGGGCCTGGACCACATGGTCCCCGTCCCCTACAGGAAGATTGCCTGCGACCCAGAGGCTGTGGAGATTGTGGGCATCCCAGACAAGATCCCCTTCAAGCGCCCCTGCACCTACGGGGTCCCCAAGCTGAAGCGGATCCTGGAGGAGCGACACAGCATCCACTTCATCATTAAGAGGTACAGGGTGGGGTGTGGGGCCTGGGCTCGGGGTGCCGGGGTGTCCGGGCTGGGCAGGGGACCACAGCAGGCATGAAGGGGGGTGATGATGGTGCAGGGCTGGAATGAATGGGTTCAGACTCGGCCAAGAGAACAGGCGGGCCTGGGAGAGGGGTCGGGCTCCTTAACCACGCAGCTGTGCAGGCCCCCCCTTCCTGGCCTCTTCTGAGGCCTGAACGGGAAATGGAGGCACCATGCCTGGCCCGTGCGGGCCCTCCGTCAGGTCTTAATAAGAGACATTTTCCTCCCCCTAAAGAAGACCTGAGGCCTTTGAACTTACCTGCCATTAGAGGGGAGCTCAGGTGGGGCTGCCTGGCCTCTCCCCTGCACACCCCACATCTGGCTACCCTACCTGCTGGTGGCTGGACCGCCCTCCCTGTCCTCCCAGGCAGCCGGCTTCCCTGGCCCAGGTGTGGGTGGGTGGGAGAAGGCAGAACACGATGCACTCCATATCAGCAGCCCCCCAGGGTTGGTGGGGGGGAGGAGGGGGGCTGCTACTGCCCATCCCCTAGCCTCGGCTCCCGACTCCAGTGGGGACTTTGCCCTCACAGCTGGTTGGACTCACCACCCAGTAAGCATCAGGGTCTGCAGGCAATGCTCAGACTTCCCGGGATGCTTCCTCCTAAATGGTTAGAGACGGAGGGGTGGCCAGAGGCTGTGGCGTCCAGCCCCCTGCCTCCAGGCAACACTGTGCTGGCCACTTCCCAGGCATCTGTCCAGGAGCTCTGTGAGGGTGCGCTCCCAGCGTCTGCTCACATGCGAGCTTGTTAGACTAAAGACAGGGACTGAGGGCAAGGACTGTGTTGGGCTCATCGCTGAACCGCCAGCGCCTAGAACGTAGTGGTAATAGACGCCCAGTGTGTATGTGTGGAATGAATGAATGAATAGATACTTGCCCAGGGGTGCAAGGAGGCTGGGCGTGGGCAGGGGCCTGGGATCCACTCTGAGAGCACAGAGCTGTTCTTGAGTGGTGGGAAGGACCTCTGCAGGGTTGCTGGAGGCCAGAGCAGGGCTGCGGAGGTTGGGAGGTGGGCAGCAAGCCCTGGAGGTGGGGAGACTTGGGAGGAGGCCTGGCATGGGCCGGGCTGGCCTGCTGGGCGGAGGGAGAGAGGCGGCTGCATTTGGGGTGGATTCTGAGCTTGGCCGGGTTTGCCAGTGGCTGGGATGTGGGGGTGTGGAGGGGAGCACGGAGGCCAGGATCACCCCATGTGTCTGAGTGTATGATTGGGGGAAGCAGGGGTGGGGTGGGGAGTTCACGTGGGGTATGCTAACTTGGGGGTGCTCAGGAGATGGAATTTTTGGAGACCACATTGAGAAGTCAGAAGCTCCAGAGAGAGATCTGTGTCAGAGATTAAAAAAAAAACCTGAGAGTTGTCAGCATGGGCCAGGGAGGGCTCGCCAGGGAGGATACAGAGGTGAGAAAGGGGGTCCCCACTGAGAGGAGGAGGAGACTCACCTGCTCCCTTGTGGCAGTGGGACCGCATCTGCCCTCACAACCCTGACTGGGGGCCACTTGACAAATCATTCTGGAGGTGAATTGAAATCAATCGTCAGGCAGTGCCTCCTGTTGTCTAGCTTAAATCTCTCTTGCTGCTGCCTAAGTCTGTTAGGCAGACGGGGGGCTAGGTAAGAAGAAAGCTGCAGGGACACCCCAGTGTCCCTGTGTGTGCCTGACCATGGGATTTGGGTCCTCACCGTGGCTGACCTTGATCTCCCTCAGTCTAAACCGTAGCTTATTTAAATCTTCCCTAGTATTTGCTCGTGCCTCGCACAGGCCCAGCCCTTCATTGGGCTCTACTGGGAACTTCACAGACTGCAGGCAGGCGTCCCCACCTGTCCCCAGAGGCCACTACCAGTCATGGGGGCAGGAGGGGCTCACTCCTGTGATGAGTCCAGGGTATCAGAGGACAACGGATTTCTAGATGTCAAGTCAGTGTCATCTGAGCGCCAAGCCTGCGGGGCTTCCTGGAGGAGGTAGCTTTGGCATCAGGCAGATTGGGCCTAAAGTCACTCGCAGCATAACCTTGAATAGCGCCTCTCTTCTGAGCCTATTCCCTCATTTGTAAAAGTAAGGACACTGATGCATTCACACACACCCCGATTTTTCTCAGCATAAAATGAGGCAGACATAACACACCTGACACATAGTAGATGCTCAATAAACACCGTCCTTTTCCTTGACCTCCCCTCTCCCTCGTGTATAAAGGAGTGGTGAAGTGCGTCAGTGCTGATAGCCTGAGTTTGAGCCCTGGCCCTGCCTTTCGCAGCTGTGTGTCCTTGGGCGAGTTACTTAACTGCTCTGTGCCTCACTTTCGCCCTCTGTAAAATGGGGCTAGTGGTTGTCCATGCCTCACACCGCGGATGGGAGACGAGAGGACTGGATGTGAGCAGCATGCACAGAACAGCGGCTACTCCGTTCAGAGTCCTCCGGACATTTGCCACTGGTATCCAGCCCAGCCTGGTCAGCGGAGCATTCGAGATTGTCCTGGCAGAAATGAGTCGGGAGAAAGGGCTTAGGAGCAGCCAGCGGGTGGAGTCTCTGCCACGGCCCAAGTGTCTGCGGGGTGGGGGGAGGCTAAGGGGAGAAGCCACTTGGTGAGGCCTACGGGTCTTGTTATCGGTGGTAGGCGGGCTCCCCGGCCTCCAAAACCCCAGTTCCCACCAGGACACCAGCCCCCCAGCGAGAGGATCCAAGTTTCCACCTGCAGGGCAGACACGTAGGTTCCACCTGAGGCAGGACTTAGCAGGGAAAGAGTGTCTGGAGGGGATCCTAGAAGTCTGGGATGTGTTCAGAAGATGGACAGCAAGCCCGGTCAGCGCCCGTCAAGCGGGCCTCCCAGGCCAGGCAGCCCGTGAGGGCATCTGTCACAGGCCCGGAGCCACATCCGACCTCCCTGTCATCTGCCTGCCAGTCCCACCCAGGAAACCAGGCAGGCCCCATGCTGTCTCGAGCCCCTGCCCCTCGGGCTTGCTGATAAATAGGTAACATTGTTGGTGATAAAACCAGAGTCGAGGCTGACAGCTTCCCCGTCCCCAGGTGGGGCTGAGGAAGCAGGTCTCAGAAAGTCGGTTTTCCCCAGAGTCGCTCCTGTGACTGCTTCTCAGCCTCGTGGGCCCCAGATAAACATGGGCCCCCAGGAGCAGCGGGGGAGCCAAACTCTGCCTCCCACACTTGAGCCTCTGTTTGAATTTTCCGCTGGGCCCGCCTTGGGCATCATTTGGTTCTTGGGTCCAGGCTGGTCTGGGGGGGCCCGCAGAGCCTGTATGCCAGCTACTGGCAGCTCCCCAACCCTCTGGGTACCATCAAGGTGGGGTGGGAGGGCTGGGATGGAACAGAAAGAACACCAGCCCCCCCCCGGAGGTGGAGGGGTGGGTGACCCCAGCTTCCTCGCCGACCTTCCCTCTGCCCTCCTGTTCCTGGCCCAGACTTCCAGGCTGAGCAGGGTGATGCCGGGGTCCCAAATGGCCGCAGGCCCCCAGCCACTCTTCCTTCAGTCCGTGGTCTGCGTGGTGGCCTGTCCGTGAGCCTGGGGGGCCCCCGGGCCTGCATTGCCCTCACGCCAGTCTCTCCTCTCTCCCCAGGATGTTTGATGAGCGAATTTTCACAGGTATGTGTGGGGACCAGCTAGTCCATCCTGAAGCTGCCGAGCACGGGGCCCCGGGCCGGGGAGGGAGCCTGGGTACGGCGTCCACCTCCGGGGTAGACACAGCCCCCAGCTCCCAGGTGCAGACAGCCCCTCGGGAATAGTAAAGCTAACATGCGCTGAACACCAGCGGGTGTCAGGTGCTCTTCTAAGCTGTTAGCATATTCAGTTTTACTTTAATTTCACATTGAACATTCCCATGAAGTGGGTTCTGCTCTTTTCCCTGAAGCCCAGCTGGTCAGCAGTGAGGTCTGGCCGCAAACCTAGGGCGCAGGGGTGCCAACCAGTGGGCAGCACGCCTCCCAGGAGGGAGAATCGGGCTCTGCCTGGTGCAGCAAAGGGAGCACAGATCTTGGGGTGCGACAGAGCTGGGTCCTGGTTCCGGCCCTCCTTCCCACCAGCTTTGTGACCTTGGCCAGGATCCTATGGGCCTCAGTTTCCACATCTGTGAAATGGGGGCGGGTAATAAGAAGGATCTTCCTCTGAGTTCTTGAGATAATTATATGAGAGAACGGTTTTGTAGTCCGGCCTTGGGGGCCACTTGGCCTCTTTCCCAAGGGCGCCCTCAGCGTTAATAGTGAACATGAGGCCAGGACAGTTATTTCTGGCTGCTCCTTCCTCCTGCAATCCTCCCAGATGCCTGGCGTCCTCTGGCACCGGGGCCTACGTTCCTTCTCTACCCAAGACCCATTCTGGCTTGGCAGAGCCCAGACCATATGCAAGGGGTGCCGCCAAGAACCTCGCACAGGTCACTGCCCAGGTGCCCCACAGTCAGGCAGGAGGCTAGAGGGCCTTGGCCCTGATCTGCCCCCACCTCTCCGCCCAGGGAACAAGTTTACCAAAGACCCCACGAAGCTGGAGCCAGCCAGCCCGCCAGAGGATACTTCTACAGAGATCTCCCGTGCGTCTGTCCTCGACCTGCCCGGGACTGCTCAGTAAGGCCCCACGCCAGCTCCTGGCCCACTGCCTCCCCGACTCTGGTCTGGTGGTGTTACCTGCGGGTGGGCGGGGGGGAGCAAGGCCTGGGGCTGGCCAGAGGATGCCGTGCCCAGTGGCTCCTGACACCCACACACACACACACCTTTGTGTCCTCACCCCGCTGTGGGTCAGGGAGAATCCGAAGGGACAGAGGAGAACAGAGACTCTGCCGATTTTTTTCCACCTGGAGAGCTCTTGTGCCCGCTCAGGATCCAGCCAGAGGTTGCCTGGTCTCTCGGAAGCCTTCCCTGGCACCCAGACTAGGTCAGGCATTTGTCCTGCGTGTCTACAAGGCCCTGCCCTCAGCTCATGGCCTGGTCACCACCGTCTACCAGTGCCCCCCACCTAGGCTCTGGGCCCCTGGCGGCCAGGGATGGCTCGTTCATTCCAGAACCACCATGTCCAGCCCAGGCCTCCCCCACAGTGCTCTGTGAATTCACTGAATCATCCATCCAGGGGCCCTGCCCACTTTTGCTTCCCAGACCTCTATACCCTCTCCAGGCTGGTAGTCCCTCAGCTCTCAATCCCCCCAGCAAGCCCTGATGGAACCTCACTGTACTAAGTTGTGGGGCTCCCATACTGGCCCGAGCCAGGCCTCGGGAGCTCCCAACTGGTGGGGAAGGTGGACGCCCAGACCGTTCACCTCAGGGTAGGGAGCAGCATCTTGGCTAGGGTGGCAGGTGATTGCTGTCCTGGGGGACCCTGCACTGGACCTCTCTCCCGTAGGGAGGACTGCCCTGTGGGGATGGGAGTGAATGTGGTCGGGGGTGTGGAGTTGGCAGGCACCGTGGGCTTCTGCCGGAGGGGAGAGCTAGGGCTGATGCCGTGTCGTTTCTTGGCCTCCTTCCTTCCCACAGGTCAGACAAGAATGGTGTCTCTGAAGACTGTGGGCCAGGTGAGGAGGAGCAGGACCCCGCTGTGTGTGTCCTGGGGTGAGAGGGTGTCCACCAGCACCCCCCTGTCTCCCCTCCCAGCAGCCTTGGGGAGGAAGGAGGCAAGCTCAGCCCATGAGCCTGGAATACTAATGAGCTACCCTGCCCATCCCTGCCCCCCACCCCCCAGGCCTCAGAGCATGCTGGGAGCTCACTGGGAGGCTGGAGGGGCTGGTGGGATGTGGGTGGCATTATGGGGAGTCGGGAGACCTGGCTTCCGGCATCACCACTGTTTCCCAGTGTGTCCGTGGCAAGTGACTTCCCTCTGTGGGCCTCCGTAACCAGGCCTATAAATTGGAGATACCAGGACGGGACTCAGGGCCTGCATGGTGACCCTCCGCTCTTGGGCTGGGCAGGAGCTTGAGGCCGGCATGACTGTTCCCAGGGCATTACTAACTAGGCACAGACGTAAGAATGTTCTAGAATGGTTTGCTTTGTCCAGCAAAGCTCAGGCCCACACCTAACTAGATCCCTCATTCCCTCCTCGCAGGAACTTCTGGGGAGCTGAGTGGGCTGAGGCCCATTAAAATTGAGCCAGAGGATCTAGATATTATTCAGGTCACCGTCCCAGGTAAGGGACAGGTGTCTGAAGGGCTGCCCTGCTGCCCCACATGAACCTCCAGGAATCAAGCAGCTCACGCTCCTGGACTGGCCAGAAGCACCGTGTCCCCTCCTGGGCTATCCCCTCTGTCTCCTGAGGGCCAAGAAGGGGTCTCCAGACCACTGTTTCTCTAGTTTTGGTTCCATATACCCCTCCAATGGGGTATATGGCATGCACTTTCTGCAGCCGGGTCTCCCCTCTACGCTGGCAAGCCCGTCTCTCGGCTCCGGTCTTCCTAAAGATGCCCCCCCACCCAGGCCTTCCCGCTCAGGCCTGGCTCCCCTGGGATTTATAAGGCAGGAGGGAGGAGAAGAAAAGGTATGGGGATAGGAGGGTCTGAGTTTGACTCCAGACTTAGAAGCCCCTGAGCCTCTGTCTCCACATCTGTGAAAAAGAGGGTGTATGTGGTCTCTGGAGGCTCAATGTGGGGTTCCCCCGCCTCAGGCCCCCGCCTGGCCTCTAGCACAATTGGTCACTAAAGCTGTCCTCCCAGAGTTCCAGGGCATGGCTTCCTTTAAGGGTCCTGCTCTGTGGGCATGTGGGGCTGGGGGTCCTGGAGGGACCATGACAGTGTGGGACAAGCAGAAGATGCTCTTGTCCTTTTGTCTCCAGACCCTTCACCCACCTCTGAGGAGATGACAGACTCAATGCCTGGGCATCTGCCCTCAGAAGATTCTGGTTACGGGATGGAGATGCTGACTGGTAAGAAATGGGCTGGGAACCCACCTCCCTGGGGCGTAACGGGGAGAAGGATGGGCCAAGAAGCCCCCCAGAGGAAACCCAGTGTGTGCCTGACTCCCTGTGCGGGGTAGGTTCCTCTCTGGAAACCTGAAGTCGGCCTTGGTTTATATTAAGTCTGGCTTCTACATTTTTCCCACGAGCCCCCGTGTGAATTAACTTGTTCATTTGTTCAACAACTATTTACTGAGCACCTACTATGTACCAGGAGGTCCTGTGCGAGGTGCTGGGGACAGAGCAGTGTACTAAACACACCAAGGTGCCTGTGTTCCCAGTGCAGCGAGACAGAGAGTAAGCAAATCACTAGGTAAAATAGAAAGTTAGAGGGTGGTAAGTGCACTGGGGGCACACAAAGCCAGAAGGGGGAGGTGTGAGGGGCAGGGGTGCAGTGGTTATTACAGGACTTGGGTGGTCAGGGAGGACCTCACTGAGAAAGTGACTTTGGAGCAAAGACCTTAAGGAGGGGGGAGCCATTGGGTGTCAGGAAAGAGCTTTCCAGGTGGCGGGAATAGAATGTGCCAAGGCCCTGAGGTGGGTTATGCCTAGCATGTCCAAGGAGAAGCAAGGCGGCCTGGGTGTCTGGCGCAGAGTGAGGTGGGGAGGTAGGTGATGGTGTGGGTTGTGCAGGGCACATATGTCAAAGGAAAGAGTGGACGCTTTGACTCTGAGGAGACAGAAACCTCCTCATGGAGGGTGGTTGGAGCTAACGAGGGACATTCTAACAGTGTTTACTCTGACCATGGGGTTGAGGATAAACTGCAGGGGAATGAGGACAAAGACAGAAACAGACTATTGTAAATCCTAGCCAAGAGGACTGGTCCAGCAGGTAGATAGCAGCAAGGGGGTGGGGGGTGGGGGGGTGGGGCTCCATAGGTTTTGTGTTTTTACCTTCATTTTGGAAATGTTCAAAAACATGCAAAATTGAAAACAGTAGTTTAATGAATCTCGTGCACCCACCTCCCATCTCCAACCATTATCAACAGATGTTCTGTATTTATTATAGATAATGAAAGCAAGAATTACTATAGGTAAAGTTTTTTTTTTTTTTTTTAAAGATTATTTATTTGAGGGGTGCCTGGGTGGCTCAGTCATGAAGCGTCCGCCTTTGGCTCAGGTCATGATCTGAGGATCCTAGGATCGAGCCCCACGTTGGGAAGCCTGCTTCTCCCTCTCCCACTTCCCCCCGCTTGTGTTGCCTCTCTCTTTCTCTGTCAAATAAATAAATAAAATCTTTTAAAAAAAAGATTATTTGAGAGAGAGAGTGCGAACAAGAGTGCAGGCAGGAGCAGAGGGAGACGGAGGGAGAGGATCCCAAGCAGACTCCATGCTGAGCGAACAGCCCAGCACGGGGCTCAATCCCAGGACCCTGAGATCCTGATCTACACCAAAAATCAAGAGTTGGACACTCAACTGATTGAGCCACCCAGGTGCCCCTAGGTGAAGTTTTTTAGAAGTTGGTTATCACAAAGACAAATAGCATATTAAGTATAGGACACAAGGTTCACAGGCTAGAAAATGATGTTAGTACTCAAATAATTAAACTTTGGAAAGCTTTGTAATACAAGATGCAGGGCCAGGCCACGAAACATGAAGAAGGGGACTGGACTGTCTTTTGTGTGTTTCCCGTGTGTGTGATATCTGGTGTGGGCTTGATTGGGAGTAGAAGGCAGGGGTGCCGGAAGGATACCATGCAAAAGCGTATAGCAGGTGGCACTTAAATGACCCGCGCAGGGGCACCCGGCTGGCTCACTTAGTGGAGCGTGCGACTCTTGATCTCGGGATCATGAGTTCGAGCCCCACGTGGGGCATAGAGATTACTTGAAAACAGTAAAATTAAATAAACAGGGCAAAGAGGTCTCAGAAAGAGAACGTTCAGCGTGAAAAGCAACTGCAGAAAGATATGGATGACACAGCATTTTATGTAAGTTTGGAAACATTGTTTCAAAATTCCAAAAAAAACAGTGTTGTTTAATGTTTTATTAAAAAATCAGGTGCAAAAATGACAAAATGCTAACATACTCATTCCGGCTGGTGGGTACACGGGTGTTTATTATAATATTCTTCTGCGTGCTTTGCTGCACTTGAGAAATTCCCCCCCACCCCCGACCAAAAATAGACACATGACTGGAAAAACAAGGTTTCCTGCAGGCCCAGGTGGGTGGTGCCGTGTTCATTGGCGACAGAATTAAAGCAGAACATCTCTGCTCCTCGTCTGCATCTGTCTTCTCTGTCAGGGAGAATGGGTCTGGAAACAGGAGAGCGGGAAGAGGACCCGGGAGTCCCGCTCGGTGGGGCAATACGCAGGGTCTGCAGAGCTGCTGGGGGGGGCCTGTCAGGCTCCAGCTTCTGAGGAGTCAGATCCCAGGCAGATAATCCCAAAGATCCCCGGTCCACAGCACTGGAGCAGGGTCATGGGGGACAGAAGATGACCGGCCATGGAAAACAGACTTCCAGGCGGTTTGTCCAAACCACAGACAGGTCGAGCACATGCCCGTCCCAGGCTCGGTTCTGGAGCCCATTTCCATACGGATGACTGAACCATGAGAAGGGACCCAGTGTGGGCTCATTGATGAGTCGGCTCATGGGACACCAGGATCTGGGGCCAACGGCGGGCCAGCTGGGGAAGCGGGGTGGCATGGGGACCCCAGCCTCCTCCTGGGGGAGCTTTCCCACGGTGTCCTGGGGGCTCGGTCCTTCCTCTCGTATTTATCAGTCAGGCAAAGGTAGTTCAGGCGGTAAGATTACGCAGTTGGCAGGTGCCTCGGGACAGGATGGGCAGTGTCCCCGGGAATGACGTTCCCCGTGGCCTTCAGAGACCAGAACGCTGGGCTGGAACCCACAGGAAAAACTCACAGCCCAAGGACACATGTCACACGGGTGGTGTTCCCCAGGGAACAGACCCCAAGCTGGTGTTTAATGGGCGGGGGGTTATTAGGGGCTGCCCTTGGGCTCAGCAGTTAAGTAAAAAAGGGGGTGGGAGCGTGGGGGGCCGGGAGGGAGGTGGAGGCATGATGCGGCCCCCCCGACAGCCTCTGCCCGCCCCATGGGAAGCTCTGCGGCCAGAATGGCCCCTTGGCGTTGTTCCAAGTTGGCCTGGGCTATCCTCAATCAGTCGTGGGACGGGAGTTGCCCCTGGGAGGGGACCCGAGTGGTACATCCCAGTGTCCACCGCAGCTCGGATGGATGATCGCACGCAAAAAAAGAGACAGCAAGCAACACAAACACGCGCAGCCTCAAGGAAACGAAAAGGGAACATCTCTTCTGCACCCCTTAATCTGGCGGAACCTTTGTTGAGCATGTTGGGAAATGGGTGCCCCTCTGGTGCCGGTAAGGATGCAGCTTGCCAAGTTGCTTTCTCAGGAAATTGGTCAGCTTGACAAGCTGTCAAAACGAGCACCCCCTGGGGGTTCCTGGGGTCCGGTCCTAGGAAATGATCTGAAACACAGACAGCGTCTTCCGCACGGGGCTGTTCGTGGCCGTGTTACTGGTAAAGAAAGAACTGGAAAGAGCCGGCCCACCTGGCGGGGACCTGTTGGTGGCATCCTCCTGATGGGCTGTTAGTAGCCACCAAAAATAAGCAGCAAGGGGGGAGCACGGAAGGGACAAGGCTGCTCTGTTTGCAACTGTTGAAAACATAATCACTGGTTAAACAAACAAGGAAGAAACTGCTGGAGCAGTAGCTACGCGAGGTTAAGTGGTGTTATCTTTTTCGTTTCCTCAGCCAGTTGGGATGGGCTTTTAATACCTTGGTCGTGAAGAAAGACTATTCTGGATGGGCTGGGCAGGACCAGACTTGACAACAGTCTCTGGAGAAACTGGGGGGTGGGAGGGGCAGGTGACCCGCGGCTCGGGATGAGCTGACAGAGGAGCCTGGCCCCCAAGGTCGCAGGGTACCGGGCTGTGGTCACAGTGCTGTTAGAGAAGATCGTGGGTATCCATCTCCGTCTGGACCCCCGGGGGCTGGGCGGCCATGGGCCAATGGGCCTATTGGAATGGCTTCTCCTCTTTGGCGTGACAGAGGGTGGGAACCTGAGGTCCAGCCGGGCCAGTCCACCTGCCCAGGGGCACCCAGCCTTGGGCTGGAGCTCAGGTTTGCTGACTGCCTGTCCGAGGTGCCTTTCCAAGCACCCCACTCAAAACCAACGAAGTTGGAAGATTCTGAGGCCCTCAGGACCACCGTGGTTTCGAACGGGGTGTGTGTGTGTCCATGCATCCCTGTGCGTGTGCTTTTTCTGCTGACACGTATGCATGATAAAATAAATGATGCAGAGTTCTGTGCCCCGGACAGAGTTCTGTGCCCCCTCCTCGGGTCCTTCGTATGTCCTTTTTCTGCATGTGTGCATATGCGTGTGGCCATGATTTTGTACAGGTTGTCCCTCCCTCCCTTACCTGGTGCCTTGGACATCTCTAGAGTGCTGGGATAGTTGGCGTGTCCTTGATCATATCTGGAGGGTGTTGCCAGTTATTCTCAGTTGAAAGGGGGGCACAGTGAGCCAGTTGCAGGGGGCTCATTCAGGGTAAAGAGCCCAGCCCCCAACACCTGGGTGGAGTATCTGGTGAGTTTGGAATTGGGGACTCCAAAGCAGATGGGTCACAGCCCCCCAGGAGTGGCCCCAGCCCAACAGAAGCCCCTCCTTGGTGGGGCCGAGGATACCTGGATTCGTTGCACGGCGGGGGCAGGTCCTCTCCTGTCCGAGCCCTGGATGGATCTTGGCTCCTTGTTGCTACTCCCAGAATGATGGCACATGGCCAGCTCATGGCAGGGACAGACTCCCTGGCCAGGTCTCCCCCCTTGTGTCCCTCCAGGCCACCTTGTAACCTTAATTAGTGCTCCAGGTGTGACACTTGGGTGGTTCCCTTCCCCTGGGACTGACCATTACCTGACCCCTTGTCACAGGTCCCTGCCCAGGAAAAGTCTCTGGTGGCCCTGCGGGTCCCACCAGACTCCTCTCTCCCTGACTGACCCCCCCCCCTTCATCTGGAAATGGCAAAAATGCAGTGGATTAGCAGGACCTTCCAGAAGCTGGCTGTGGATGGGGCTCTGCTTGCTTGCCTGGGAGGAGATCGAGGCACACCAACATGGGGTGGGAGGTGGGACAGGGACAGTGTAGGAGTGTCACCAGATCCGTTACCGCTGCGGACAGCTGAGCCAGGGGACATGAGAGCCACGTAAACCACGTGACCCAGGTCGGCAGCCGAGTAGGGAGGGAGCTGAGATAGTGATCTTCCAAATGGCCCTACGTTGTTGGCTGAGAGATGTTTCCAGGCAGTTCTGCTTCTCCCAGCTTGCTGGGGCTGCTAATGCAGCCAGAGGAAAGCCTTCAAGCCAAGTCAGGAGGGCCTAGCATCCACTGCCCACAGTGAGCCCATTTCCCTGAGGAAGGTTGAGGCCTGAAGCCCAGGGCTGGTCCTCAACCTTTTCAAGTCGGCTGAGCATAGGGGCAACCCTCCAGAATCTTCCAGCGCCTTCCACGCTGAGCCCCAAGCCTCAGGCTTGTCTGGTGATCCCAGGTGCAGGCTCACCTTTCCCTCCATCCTGAGCGAATTTGGACTCTTGGCAGCTCTCCCGGGACCAGCCCCTTTCCTTCCAGCTCACCATTCCCGCCTGGGGACAGGGGACCGTGCCCTGGTCTCCCTTGTCCCCACATGCTCCCTCCAGGAGCCAGCGGGAGAGCAGATGGACGCTGGCCTGGAGTCTGGCAGACCTGGGCTCCACCAGTTCCGCTGCTCTCCAGCTTGGCTGCACGTCGTGGGCCAACACAGGCCCTTGGAGGCTTAGTCCGGCGTGTGAAAGCACCTGGCACCACAGCGCCCACGAGCTTCCCAAATTACAGCCTCCTCCCGCTTGTTACAAGTACTGACCAGCCCTTGATGCCTTCCTGGCTCCACCCCTGGTAATGAAAGGGTGCTGCTGAGGGAGGCCCTGCAGCATGGCTGTCCCCAACCCTGCACCCCAGTCCCGGTGTCCGTGCGCACCTACTTCCTCCTCCTCCAGTCAGAACCTCCGTTTGCCACCGCCCCCCATGCTGCTCCTCCCTCCCTGCCTGTGTCCTTCTCCCCTACTGCTTTTCCTAGACTCTCATCTCCAGCCCAGGTGCTCCCCTCCTCTCCACGCCCCCCCCCAGGCCAGCAGGGTCCCCCACCCCCATACAGCTTCTGCACTCCCCTTCGCAGTTGACGCGCCACATCCTGGCTATCTGGGGACAAGGCTGGGTCTGTTGCTGTGAGCTTAGGCGAGGATCAGTGCCATCTCATCAGAGAGCCCCGTGGACCACCTGACCTGGGGTAGCTCCACACCCCCCCACCTGCCCTCCCCTTACCCGACCACCTTTCTTCACGGCATCCCTGCTGACTGGCCTTCTGTGTTCGAGCTGGTGTCACAGCAGAGGACAGGGCTTTGTCTTGTCCCTGCATGTCCTAGTGCCTCGAGCAGAGCCTAGCACCCGGAAAGAAGGACTGACCAACGTGGGTCTGGTCTCCAGACAGTGCGAACTGAATGTGCTCCGATACCTGGCTCTGAACTTGGCCTTCTTGTGTGAGGACAAGGGTGGGGTGCCTGTACAGGATCGAGGTCCCTGATCCCATCCGGGGGGTCACTATGCTCTGCTCCAGAGTCAGCCTGCTGCACCCCCCTTGTCTGGCCTGACGTTCCTGGGGAGATGGTGCTTGTGGCTTCCTGGCACCCTCTCTTCTCTTTCAGAGAAAGGCCCCAGCGAGGACCCACGGCCCGAGGAGAGGCCCGTAGAGGGTGAGGCGCTGTCCACCTCCCACCTTTCAGCCCATCACCCCATCTCTCCTACCCTCCCCCGCCTTTCCTCTCCCTATTAGTTCTCTCCACCCCATCTCTCCCCAACACCCCGTTTGGAGGTGGGAGTCCTGGGAGGAGGCTTATAGACCTGTCTTCTAGAACTAGGACGTACCTGATCAGAGGCACAAGCAGGTCTTTCTGGTAAGGGAAGTGCAGAGCATTCTCTGTCTTTGTTTTTATACATACCCTGCTTCTTTCACAAAGGTTTTAAGTCTGGAGTCTGAGCAAGTAGTATTGAGGCCAGGAAGCACAAAATTGGCTTTGTGTCCAGCAGACCTGCTCATTCTCAGGAACACCCCTCATTCTCTTCCTGCTGAGTGAGAGTTGTGCAGGATGAGAGATCAAAGTGGGGATGGGTCTGTTTCCTCTTGGGAGTATCTGCCCCTGGAATGGAATGTGGGTGGGTGTGTGAGGAGAGAAGGGTCTTTGCCCTAAACCCAGCCTGACCTGGGGTGGGGGTAGAAAAGTCCACTGCCACCTGGTGGCAGCGTACTCAGTTTGCTGGCCTAACACTCACCCACTAGCTAAGTCACTTCCTGAGCTGGTCTAGAATGACACACGCTTCGAAAGATCTGTGGTCGTTCTTAGGCTGCAAAGTCTTCCGAATTGTCATTCAGGCCCAGCGATACCTTAGACCTGATTTTAGAAGCAGACATTTTGAGTTCAGGAAATGCGGACCCGTCTGGGGGTGCCATTTCTGAGGAAATAGGTTAGCTGCTACCCCCACCACCCCAGCCTCCCCCCATTTCAAGGTCCCAATGCAGATGGGCCAAGAATGATGCCGGCAGAGCTGGGACATGAGCTGAGAAGCGGGGTGCTGCTGGCCCTGGGGAGGCCCAACAGGCTGCCTTTTGCCTTCCAGACAGCCACGGTGACGTGATCCGGCCCCTGCGGAAGCAGGTCGAGCTTCTCTTCAACACGCGATACGGTGAGCCAGGAGCCAGCCGGGGCCCCGGGCAGCTCGCCCTCTCTCTAGCTGCCCTGCTTGCAGAGGGACGTGGGGCCCCTGCTGCTCCCTGCTCTGACATGAGGCAGGGAGGGGACGGAGGGGCCAGGGCCCACTGGGAAGGGGATGGGGACACCCAGGGAACCCCCCCCCCCCAGCACCGTGGCCCCCGTTGCCTTCTCCATCACCTGCCCACTCCCAGTCGGTCTTGGCCTCAGGTTGGAGAGCCCGCTCTGTCCACTGCCAGAACCGCTCCTCCGTCCTCATGGACACCCTCATTCTGGGTCCTTGGGAGGACACACACACAGCAAGACCTTTCCTACTCAAGAGTCCAGGAAAGAGGATGGGGCAGGGCCAGGAGGCAGGGGAGGCTGTTCTTTTATGAGGCCCCAGTGGTTTGCAAGGCACTGGCCAGGGGCTTCACGCAAGTTCTTCCATCTCACAAAACCCCTGTGTCCTTGTACCCATTTGACAGATGAGGAGACATGAGGCTTGGGGAAATGATATGGCTTGTCCGAGTGTGAGGGGTAGTGCCCGGCCTGGGCCTCCAACCTGTCCCATTCCCAAGGCATGGGGTTGGGCCACCCAGAGTTTGGGGTTATGTATGGATAACGGGGGGCTCTCTGGAAGTCCTTTCTGGCAGCCCAGGGATAAGCGGGCTTGGGCGGAGCCAAAACCAGGTCTCACCAGCCATCGGTGGTTTCTTGTGCACTGCCTGGGTACGAGGGTTTGGGGGTCCCACTGACTCGGGTTCGCATCCCCCAGCTCTGGGGCTCTGCTACCTGAGTCCCGTCCCCCTCTGAGCTCCTGGTCTCTTATCTGCAGACTGGGGTCACGGTACCCACCTCTCAGGAGGGTTGGGGGGTCAACTAAGCACTGACTCTCAAGAGAGCCCTGGCACGTGCACACCCCCCCCCCGGCCCTGCACAGACGCGGGAGGCTAGAGCCGGGGCTCATGGCCCCATAGCTGGATGGCCCTACAGCAGCCGTGTTTCTGCAGCCAAGGCCATTGGCATCTCGGAGCCCGTCAAGGTGCCCTACTCCAAGTTCCTGATGTACCCAGAGGAGCTGTTTGTGGTGGGGCTGCCTGAAGGCATCTCCCTCCGCAGGCCCAACTGCTTCGGGATCGCCAAGCTCCGGAAGATCCTGGAGGCCAGCAACAGCATCCAGTTTGTCATCAAGAGGTAAGGCTTGGCCGCGTCCACAGGGGGCCCCTCCAGGCTGACCCGGCTCCTGGGAGTGGTGCCAGAGTGCCATCTTCGTCTTCAGATCGGGGCAGGCTTTTTTGTTGTTTGGACACTGGGGCGTTAGATAAAGTTTGGCCACAGTTGGGCAGGCGGGAGGTTGCTCAGACCCTGCCCGGGCCTGCGAAACCCGAAGCAACCCGCCTGTTTGTCACCATGTGCAGTGGGAATCTGCCCGCCGGCTTCCTTTCCTGGACCGTTCTGCACATTCTCTGGGCGTGTGTTGGTATCCTGGACCGGGGGCATCGGGGCGCTGCTGAGGGCAGTGGCCCATTATCCCAGGGTTGGAAAATATGGTGGTGGCAGGTCCTTTCTGTTTCCCTGGGCATCTCGTTTTTGTCTTCGAGGGCCCAGTGGAGCTCCGCATATCCAGCCTGTGAGCCCAGCTCAGACATACAGTCCCTGTGGAAAAGATGGAGGCAGCTATTGATTTAAGGTGGGGGGGGCGGGTCTGGGGTGACCTGTTTGTTGCTACTGTGTGATACTATTATGTCAATTTAGGCTTGGTTTGCTTGAAAGTGACAAGAAAGAGGAGAGTCCTAAGGGTTTGCTCCCGCTAGGGGAGTAGATGGCCCCCAAACTGGAAAATTCATGACATCCTTCATGGCGGGTGATGGGGCGTGGGGCAGGGCACTCTCCCCCGGGGGCCTGGTTTGCACCAGGAGGAACAAGGAAGGGGGTACTCCAAGAGACCCAAATAATGCACATATGGTTCCTTCCTTCGGCACATACATCTGAGTGCCAACTGCGGGCCAGCCTGTGAGAAGCAGCTCATGCCGAGGTCTGCCCTCGAGTTGGCCAGTCTCGTTGACTAAAACTACCATCTAATGTCAGGTAGAGATAAATGCTAGAACCTAGAGTCTGGGGGCAGAGAGGGACAGGAGGAACTTATCTGAGGAAGCGAGGCATGCCGATATCTGGTGGCATTCAGGCAGAGGGAAGAGCAGGTGCAAAGGCCCTGGGGCAGGGGCATGCTTGTGTGTTTGAAGACCAGTGACACGCCAGTGTGGCTGCACACGGTGAGCGAGGGAAGGGTGGTAAAGCCTAGGAGGGAGCAGGGGCCAGATCATGCATGGTCCTGGCCTGGCTTAAAGAGTTCTGATTTTATGTTACAATGAATGAGAACTCACTGGAACATCCCGAGGAGACTATGACATGATCTGGTCTTTATTTTTTTTCCTCCAGCTGTGAGGTACAAGGGGACCTCGGGGCTGTGGGCAGGCGCAGAAGCAGGGACCAGCAAGAAGGCTTTGCTCTGGCCCTGGGGACAGGGTGGTGGCAGGTGGAAAACGGGACTCACCCCCTGCTCAGGGGAGAGGGTGGGGTGGGGACAGGACGTCGGGAGCTGAATGTCCTGAATGTCCTGATTCAGGAGGGACGTGTCACAGGGGGGCCGCCTGCCACATCCATCCTCCAGACGGAGAACCAGAAGCACTTGGGCGGCTCAGCGGGGGAGCCAAGTTTCACGGCACGTCCTCACGAGCTGACCTTTCTCATTGTTCAGTGCAGACACAGCTTCTCAATCTCCTGTGCTCACGAGCGTTTTCTCACGCTGCTTTATACTTAGAAAGGGAGGCAGGTTAGCCCGGTGGCTCTCTGTCAGACTTGAAGACCAGCTCCTGGGTCTGAATCCGGACCTCCCGCTCCTCCCCATGACCTTGGGCAGCTTGCTCCAGGTTGTTAAACAGGAAGCACTGTACCACTTCCCAGAGTGGCAGTGGAAGTCAAGGCTCAGTGAAGGGCTGGCGCACTCAGTACTCAATCGAGATGGGTTTTTTTTTTTTTCTAATGTCAGGTTTATTGGAGTTCAATGACAGTCAGCAAAATTCACCGTTTTTAGTTGTATACCCCTTTGAACTTTGGCAAGCTCATATGTCATATAACCACCACCACCATCAAGATACGGGACAGTCCTATCACCCCAAAACCTTCCCTTGTGTCCCTTTGTGGGCCACCCTAGCTCTTGGCGACCGCCGACATATCTTTTGTCATCGTTTTGCCTTTTCCAGAACATCCTACAAATACAGTGATTCGGTGGCTGCCTTTTGAGTTGGCTCCTTTCACTTAGCTTTTGAGATTCATTCATGTGGTTGCCTGGATTTGGATTTCGTGTCTTTAAAAACATATCCGTTTTAAAAAGTAAGTTTAACTGATTCCAGTTTCCTGAAAGCCAAGCAAAGACTAGGACTCACGTAGGAGAGCGCGATGAGCTTTGCCAGGCGCAGCATTTGGGGGTGGCCTTGCTGGGTGATTCTGAGAGATCGAGCCCTTAGTATATTTATTTTGTTGTTTCTCATTTTAAAAATCAGCAGAAAAAAAATAAAATAAAAATCAGAAAATACTGTTGGGTATATTAAGCATAAAAGAGCCACTTGTCATTGATCTTACTTTAGAGAAGGGTGCCTTTGGTGGGGGGGGGTGATGTAAATGTTCTGGAATCAGGTAGAAGTACAGCTGTATCAATGATTTCGTGAACATACTAAAAACCACAGATTGGCATACTTTGAAAGTGAATTTTATGGCATGTAAGTTCCATCTCAGTAGAGCATCCATATTTATCTTCTGTGTATTTGTGTGTACGTGCATCTGGGTCTGCTGGAGTTGCCATAACATAACATCACACGTGGGGGGGCGGCTGACAGCAGAAATTTATTTCTCACCGTTCTGGAGGCTCGAAGTCCAAGGTCAAGGTGCTGGCAGGTTTGGTTTCTCCCGAGGCCTGTCCCCTTCACCGTGCCTCCAAGTCACCTTTTCTCCGTGTGCACACATCCCTGGTGTCTCTTTCCATGTGACCTAATCTCTTCTTATAAGGGCACCAGGCAGGGGATGAGGGCCCCCCCTGATGTCCTCATTGAAATTTAACCACCTCTTTAAAGACTCCTTCAAATACAGTCACGGGGCGCCTGGGTGGCTCAGTCATTAAGCGTCTGCCTTCAGCTCAGGTCATGATCCCAGGGTCCTGGGATCGAGTCCCGCATCGGGCTCCCTGCTCTGCGGGGAGCCTGCTTCTCCCTCTCCCACTCCCCCTGCTTGTGTTCCCTCTCTTGCTGTGTCTCTCTCTGTCAAATAAATAAATAAAATCTTAAAAAAAAAAAATACAGTCACATTCCAAGGTACTGGGGGGTCAGGGCTTTAACATATGAAATTTGAAGGGGACACAGTTCAGCCCATAAAAACAGAGAGTTGACCCTTGAACAATACGGGGGTTAGGAGTGCCGACCCTCCCCTGAGCCCCTGTGCAGTTGAAAATTCATGTATAACTTTTGACTCCCCAAAAACCTAGCTACTTAGATCTGAAACGAATGTAACACTGTGTGTCCACTATAAGCAGATAAGGGGCGCCTGGGTGGCTCAGTTGGTTAAGCATCTGCCTTTGGTTCAGGTCATGATCTCGGGGTCCTGGGATCGAGCCCCACATCAGGCTACACGCTTGACAGGGCATCTACTTGAGATTCTCCCTCTCCCTCTGCCCCTCCCCCCTAAAATAAATAAATCTTTAAGAAAGAAAAAAAAACCCATAACTACTAATAGCCTACTGTTGACCAAAAGTCCTACCGATAGCATAAACAGGTGATTACCATGTATTTTATGTTATATGTATAATATACTGCATTATTACAATAAAGTAAGCTACAAAAATGAAAACATAAAGAGGAGAAAATGAATTTACAGTACTGTATTGAAGAAAACGTGCATGTAAGTGGACCCATGCAGTTCGAACCCGTGTTGTTCAAGGGTTAGCTGCGTGTTTATATATATGAGAGACCACCTGCAGGAGACATCACTCACTGATTGTCACTCTTTCTGCTTGCACCTGACCTCCACGTCCTTCTAAACATATTCTTCTATACCTTCTTCTGGGCAGAGGGTCCCTTGCTTTCATCCAATTCTCCAAAGTTAAGAAACCCTTTGGAAATTGAAAATCATGGGTGGATTCACACAGACAGGAGACCGCTACCCAGGGAAGTTGAGGTGGAAGGTTCTGGTTCATGTAGTGCTACAGGGCGTTCCGATACTGACCACCCGGCATTAGCAGACCCCAGCTGCAAGTTCAGGGGTCCCTAGGCCACCTACACTTCTGAGCAAATGGCTCAAAATCCAGGGCTCCCCATGGCTCCCCAGGGCTCAATAATTAGCTAGAAAACCTCACAGAACTCAGGAAAGTGCTATGTTACAATTACAGTTTTTTATCAAGGATACTAATCAAGACCAGCCAAATAGAGAGACACGAAAGCCAAGGTCCCCATGATCTCAGGACATGTCACCCTCCAGCACCGAGCTTCAGTGCCCACGATTTTTATTGGGATTCGTGCTTGACTGTGTGATTGAGCTCCATCTGCAGCCCCCTCCCCTCCCTAGAAATCAGGAGGGTGGGCGGGTATCAGGTGGCTCAGAGCCCCAGTCCTCTGATCACAGGGTCCGTCTTCCAGAATCCCCCGAGTCATCTCGTTAGCATAAACTCAGGTGTGATCCCAGCATCCCACCAGGAATAAGCACTCATATTCCTGTCCCTCGAGAAATACCAAAGATGAGAGGTCACCTTCCAGGACCCAGGACAAGGACCAAACTCTTTATTATACAGCGCTGACTCTAAATGCCCTGTTTTCACTACAGATCTGTCCAGCTGGAGCAGCCTGTCTGCTTAGGAGAGAGAGGCATGGTCTGGAGTGTGTGGCAGGCTGGGGGCCTTGGGGAGGTCAGGCTGGCCAGGGGAAGGCTGACAGGGGACGATGGAGTGGGACAGGTAGCAGAATCACTCCTTCAAATCTCCTGAAGGGTATCATGGGGCTGGGGTGCTGGACCAGGGTGGGTGAGGCTGCCGGGAGAGGTAATGAGCTCCCCGTCATGGGGGTGGCCAAGCAGTGGCACGGAGACCCGGCCTAGAAGGGAGGCCAAAGGCCAGACTCTCAGGGCACCCCCCCACCCCCCCCGCCCAAGTCAGGTGGCCAGTGGATGAGGACTTGGTGCCTCTCTGGCAGCAGGACCTGGGTATCCGGAGAGGCGGCCGGGTGAGGGGGCGCGGGCCTTGATGGAGCCCTGCCCCTTCCTGCTGTGTGGCCTCGGGCACCTTACTCACCTTGTCAGTGCCTGTCTCCTCATCCTGTAAATGGGGCGGTGGAAACAGTACCCGCCTCCAGCATGCGGAGAGGGCTCCACGACATCCGGGAAGGGCTTTGTGGGGTCTCAAGATACAGACGTGAGTGCAAAGCGGGGGTCGGTCCCCGAGGCCCTGACTCCGAGTGCCACGGCAGTTCTCAGGTGTCCCCCAGAAACCCCGGACTTTCCCTGCCCCTCCGAGATCTTGCCACATGGTCAGCCCCGGCTGCTTCTCTGTGCTTAAAACTGACCCCGTGGGAAGCGTCCCGGAACCGAGTGACGGCGTCCCCTCCATTTGGTCTGGGTCAGGCCGTCCTCCCTCTGGACTGGATCCTCAGAGCCCAGCACAGCCCCCCCCCGATCTCAGGCGTGGGTCCTCAGGACAGGTGCAGGGGCTTGGGGGGGGCGGGGGGAAGGGACGGGGACCCCGGACCTGGGCTGTCCAGAGCTGGGAGGGCCTGTTGCTCAGCTGTGTAGACGGAGCCTCCGGTGCAGAATGGGGTTGTACAAGGAGGGCCAGAGGGGCCTCAGTAACTGCCCTGCTGTGGTGTTTTCCAGGCCCGAGCTGCTCACCGAGGGAGTCAAAGAGCCCATCACGGACAGCCAAGGTACCCCACGCAGGGTCACGGGCTGAGACACTAGCCGGGTGCGGGAGGGGTCCCAGCTCTGTGCCCCATTCCTCATCCTTCCTCTACGCTGGTCCTACCTCCCCTAGCATCCCCCACCGCCCTCCCTGTCAGGTTCCCCACCCCCCGGAGATACCACCTCTGTCCCGGGGTCCCAGGAGCTGGCTGCTCACCCTGGCTTCTCTCCCCTCCTCCCCCGCCCCCAGAGAGGGATTCCGGGGACCCTCTTGTGGACGAGAGCCTGAAGAGACAGGGTTTCCAAGGTAAGGTTGCAGCTCAGGATGGGGTCAGCTGTCCCAGTGCCATGACCTTGACCTGGCTTGGGTTTGGAGGGCCAGGCTGTGGGTGGGAGGGGCTGGCCCCCGACATCAGGGCCTGGGGGTCTGCGTGAGGCTGGCTGGCAGGTGGAGCAGGAAGAAGAGGCTCCATAAGGGTGTGGGGGGCAGCAGGGTACAGGGTCCCGCCCTCTCCGTGTCAGGCAGTCAGCTGTCTTCTCAATGCCTGAAGCCAAAGGAGGGCGAGGGCCCCAAGGGCCAGGAGGTTCTGTGGAGGAGGAGAACCGTGGCTGGGCCAGGAAGGGCCGAGAGGCAGTGAGCAGGGAGAAAGCTGGATGGAAGGTAGGAGAAGCTTGAACCAATGCAAGTGGCTTGGCAGGCAGGAGAGACAGAAGCAGGAAGTCCCACATGCGTGTGGGGACAGCTCCAGGGTGTGGCTGTGAGTCCCCGAGGCTGGTTGTTCCCCAGGTGGCCCTTGGCTGGTCCCTGTGGCTCTGAGCGGAGAGAGAGAGAGAGAGAGGTCAGCGAGACCAGCGACAGGATGGGCCAGCCCAGGGAGTGGGGCGCCCAGAGATAGGACCCAGATCCCGGAGGGGGCTGCTCCCTGCCCCATCTCTCTCTCTCTCTCTCCCCCGGGTAGCTGGAACTGGCTACAATGAGGTGTCCTCACAGCGCTCAGCCCACCCATGGCTCCTCATGCGCAGCCTCACAGCAGACGGGGGTCCTCACCACGCCCCCCACCCCCAGCCGCCTAGAGGTCCATTCCCTCCCTCCTTCCCTCACCTTTCTCTCTCCCCAGGCAGTGCCAGGCTGCAGTCTCTCGGGGTCAGGGGCCCATCTGGGGTCCCCACAGCATGGGTTGGCACGTGGACTCTTTCACTGACGCCCCCCGGCTGAGGGACTGACCAGGGGTGGCCCTCCCCACCGGCCCCACCAAAGCCCCAGAACCTGCTCCCCCTCGTGGGGCCTCTCACCGCCTGGGCTGATTGACTGCTTGGGTGGTTTTCAAATGTCAACAATTAATTTCCCACTCATGGCTGTTGTCACAACCGCGTGGGTCCTTCCGGAAAAACACACATCTCCACCTGGATGTTCCTTCTGAAGGACTCTGAGGGTCCCACTCTGAGGATCTGATAATTGCCAGAGAAGGAGCTCCCCATCATCAGAAAATCATATTCCTCAAAAGTCCCCAAGTGCCTTTTAATTTAACAGCCCCAATCCATAATTGTTTTTCACTTGGCAGAAAATTATGACGCTAGACTCTCGCGCATCGACATCGCCAACACGCTGAGAGAGCAAGTCCAGGATCTGTTCAATAAGAAATACGGTGAGCCCCGGGGCACCCAGGCGGGAGGGCAGCCCGGCTGCCATGGGAAGGGAGGCGGGAGCTTCCTACTCGTAGCCGTGGTCATTTCCGGGAAAACCACTCCCTCACGTTCGGACATTTCTTGAGCACCTACTATGTGCCAGACTCCGGGGATAAAGAATTGAAGGAAAAAGGGACCCTGCCCTGTTGGGCCTTGTAGACCAGCGAGGTGAGACAGACATTCAGTAACTACACCAAGTCTAGTAACGACGAGGGCCCGTTCCACGATTTCGCAGGAAAAGAGCAAGCTGCTCAAGAGAGAATAACTTGGATCGGGAGCCAGGGAGGCCTCTTTAAAGAAAGAAGTTCATCTCACAGAGAAGGAAGGGCAGGCCGGCCGAGGCAAGAGCACGTGTAAAGGCCCTGAGGCTTGTCCTAGGAACGGACAGGAAGCTGAAGTGGGGAAGTGGGGCTGGAGGGGAGGGGCCCTGGAGAGGTGGCTGGGACACAACCCCGTCACCTAGGGCCTTCAAAGGAACCATGGTCTCGCTTTTGTATTTTGTTGGGAGGACTCAAGGGACAGAAGGCACTCTGTAGTTTTAAAGTATCTTCCTGGCTGCCCACGAGGAAGGTGAACGGGTGCAAGAGGGCAGGGCTGGGCGACCAGCTCGGAACCGGAGTGATGACAGGCTGGCCGGGCCCTGGCAGGGATGCTGGAGGAAGGTGGATGGAATGGAGCTGAGCTGCAGAGGTAGAGTCGGGAGGTGCCTAGTTGGTGGGGAACAGGGAGGCGAGGGGAGAGGGGAGGCGTCCCGTTGAGTCTGGCTTGAGGAAAACAAGCTCGTGCAGTTAAGGTGCTTCATGGCGTCAAGTAACAAAAACAAACGGGCTCCTGACTCAGTTCCTATGACCACAGACCAGATCAGCCTGCACCGAGCCGCCTAAAGTAACAATGGCCTTTGTTCTTGTGGTGTCCGTGAGTCAGGAGTCTGGGAGCGGCTCAGGGGGTGGCTCGCCTTCGGAGTCTGTCCTGGGGTTGTAGTCAGAAGGTGGCTGAAGCTGGAGTCACCTCCTGTGTGTGACCCCTGGGCCGGGGACCCAGCTGGTGCTGGAATGGCTCTGTCCCTGTTTCTGTGCCTTCTCCCCACGTGGACTCTCCGGTGTAGTGACCCCATGGTGGCTGGATTTGCCAGCCAGGTGGAAGCCGTCACCTTTTGTGTCCCAGCCTCAGAGCCTCTGCCATACTCTGTTGGTCGAGGTAATTATGAAGTCCCGCCCAGGTTCAAGGGGAGGGGACACAGGGCCCCAGTTCTCTGTGAGGGAGTGTCGACGTGACGCTAAGAGGAGTGTGTGGGATGGGAGGAATGTTGGTGCAGCTGTCTCTGGACAGTATCATGGGCCACAGCTCACAGCCTGGGAAATCCAGCAGGAGAGCAGCCTTCAGGATCAACTGGATCCAGCAGTTCAGAGCTAATCCTTGGTGTCTTTCTACCATGTTGGCATCAGTCTCAAGCTGGCTTCCCACCACAGCAGGTTGAGACATCCCACCTGCACCTTGAGGAGGGAAGGAGAGGGCTGGCTCTTTCGAGGCCTTTCTCCAGAGAGCCAGGGGTTTCTTTTCTAGAATTCCCTGAGCCCCCCCCCCTTGTTTCTCATTGGTCCCCACTGAGTCACATGTCCATTCCTCACTCAATCCCTGCGGCAGGGAAACACCACATGCTCACTGGGTGATGGGGACCTATCACTGTGACAAGGGAGAGAGGGGGGATGGAGCACATGGGCTCACAGACAGGCAGACACCCACCCCAAACTGTCAGCTAGAGAGAAGGGGCAGCGCCCTCACCAAGGAGGGGTAGCTTGAGGGGGAGAGGATGGGTGCCATCTTGGATGTGTTGAGTTTGAGGGCTGAGTAGAGATGACCCATAGGCAAGTGGGGATCCAGTTTGCTGTTCAGGAGAAGTGTCTGGATTGGATGTAAAACTTAGGCCAGGAGGGTAGAGGAGCAAAAAAGAGGACCCAGACCAAAGGCCAAGGAGCCCTGGTGTTTAGAGGTCAGGTCCAGGCGGCAGCATGGGGTCACGGACATCAAGGGGAGGGCTTCAGGGAGGGGAGCATGGACATCTGTGCCAAACTCTGTCGAGAGAAGCGCAGGTGTCTACTGGATTTGGCTACATGGAGGCCATCGGTCATTGTAGCAAGGGCCGTTTGGGAGGTGAGGATCTCTTAGCCATCGCATATAACCTAGTCAGCAGCACGGTCAGGATAAAGAATTAAAAACAGGCAAATCCGTCAAGTCAGAGTCGATGAGGGGCCACCAGGGCTCGGGGAGGCGGGACGGGGAGAGACTGCAGATGGCCACAGGGTTTCTTCCCAGAGTGATGAACGTGTCCTGGAACTAGCTCGTGGTGAGAATGTCACAACCTCGTGTGTACACTAAAAACGCTTGGATTGTTTTAAAATGGTTGGCTTTATGGTATGGAAATTTTATCTCAATGAAAAAAACCAACACAAAAACAGGCAGGAACAATGGTCAGGGGTCATAGGAAGCCACTGAGATTCTGTACATGGGGGATGCAGATGACAAATCAGGCTCTGAGTTCCCTGGGAGCCAGAGCAAAAAGGGAAATGAGTCCAGTTATACCAGTCCCAGTATCCTTGAGATAAAAGTTAGTTTCTTGCACAGAGAGGGTTCCAGCTGTTCTTCCTCGAGCTGAGACGTGCAGAGATTTCTGCATCGTGTCTTCATAAAGGGACGCCCTGCAATGCAGGGGATGACGCTCTCAGTGGGCCCCTTGGAGGGATCGCAGTGAGCTCCTTCCCTTTGTCCAGGAGGGACCCCAAATGCAGTCTGCCCTCAGGCCAGACAGATCCCAAACCAGGGTGAGGCAGAGCCCCGGGGGGCTGATGGAGGGTCAGGTGTTGTAGGGAAGGGCCAGCCATGGCCACAGGTCCCATCCTCCATGTGGGCCTGCAGAATCTCAGGCTGAGAGGCCGAGGAACCTGAGCCGCTCCCTCTCCCCTGCGGCTGAAGCCCCGCGTGCCCTGCCCGTTCCTCTGCCCCGCCCGGACACTCGGTACCCCTGCATGACCCACTCCCTAACTCCTAGCCCCCCACCGATTGTGCCTTCCCACGGGGCTACACGCCAGCCCCCATACCCCCCCAACGCACACGCCTTCCCATCACGCTCGCACCCCGCGTCCACACACCGGCCCTGCTCTGGCTCCTTACGACCCGTCCTCCATCCCTCCTCCATAGGAGAAGCCCTGGGCATCAAGTACCCCGTCCAGGTCCCCTACAAGCGGATCAAGAGTAACCCCGGCTCGGTGATCATTGAGGGGCTTCCCCCAGGAATCCCGTTTCGAAAGCCCTGCACCTTTGGCTCCCAGAACCTGGAGAGGATCCTTGCAGTGGCTGACAAGATCAAGTTCACGGTCACCAGGTACTCAGGGGACGGGTGAGGAGGCCAGACTAGCATGCGCGGGGCCCTTGGCTTTGCCTTTGATCTGGTCCTGCCTTGTTCTGCTCTCCAGGGCCATCCTCGGTCCCGGGGCGGGGGGCGGGGGGCGGTGTGCAGAAGGGTGACTGCAGGCCGGCCAGGGTGCAGGGAACCCCACATCAGCCACCACAGCAGAGGGGTGGCCTTCCCGTCACCTCACTGCCCTCCCATCCCAGCCCTTTGGGAGAGGCGGTCAGCCCACTTCAGAGGGGAGGACACGGAGACAGGTGATTTGCCGGGGGTCACAGAACCAGCCAGGGCAGGGCCAGCAGGAGGCCCTGGTCACCCCCCCCGCACAGCACACTGCCACATCATCACCGTGTCCGGCCCGAGCAGTGACTCCCGGGCAGCTTGTTCAGATGCCATTCTGAACAACGGTGTGGGATGGTCCCCAGACATTGCTGAGGAGCTCCCAGGTCCCCCTTCTGACACTCCTATCTCTCTTTCTCTTTCAGGCCTTTTCAAGGACTCATCCCAAAGCCTGGTAAGAGGCACTGGCTGTGGCGGGGGGGGCCGCTTGGCATGGGAGGCCGGCTGCCGTGCTGGGGGCCAGAGGCCGGAGCCCAGCTTACTGTGGGACACCAGGCCCTGCCCTTCTGTTCTCCCACCTCCTCTGGGCACCGGCCCCAGGTGGGAGGAGGAAGGCCACACTGGAACCTCGGGCCGAGAAAAGGGGGGCGGGGAGGGCACGGGTTGACTCATGTGCTGTACCTGGCCAGGGTTCAGGAGGGCGGGGGCCCGGCCCTCCCCTCCTAATGAAGGGGCCTGGTTGACCTGAGTGTGTGGGCGAGCTTGGTGGCAGGTGGTTCCTAATCGCAGAGGGAGGGGTTTCTGCATCAGGCCCACCAAACTTGGGCGGTAAGATGGTGGTAAGTGCTTCCTCAGCCTTAGATGGCAAGCTGCCTCTCCTGACGTCCGTCTCCTCCATGGGCTGTGTCCGGGCCCTCCCAAACCCTGAAGGAGAGGGGCGCCTGGCCGGCCCGGGCCCCATCCCAGGCGATGCTGAGGGAGAGCAGAAACACAGTGAGGCGGTCTATGTGCTCCCAGCCCCTCCTTCCAGAAGGAAGGGACCCCGTGGGGGCCTGAGCATGCAGCTGCTCGGGGGGCAGGCACAGTCATTAATGAGCTTGGGAAGCAGGAAAGGAAATCAGTTCTGATACCTGACGTGCGCTACCAGGTCAGCGCTTTGCACTGTGGCCTTTTCCTGTCTCCTTTTTACGGAGGAGGAAACTGAGGCCGAGGGAACATCAGTGACTCCCCGGATGCCCTACCCCTAGTGAAGGGACTGTTGGCTCCAAAGCCTGGCTTCCCTGCAGGGAGGCCCAGTGATCCGGGTGGTATGTGACGCAGAGCGGTTACGTACCTTTGCGGAGGAACGCTGCGGGGCAGAGGGTCGGCCAGCAACCTTCCCACAGACCCCAGGGCTTCCGGGCCCTTCTGCCGACAAGGGCTTGCCCTCCGGCCCGGGGAGCTCGGCTGCCCATTGGCGGTTAGAGCAGCTTCCTGACGTCTCCAGGCCAGTCTGCCTGTCCACCCACCCTTCGGCCTGTGCTTTGGCTCTTCTGTGCGCAGAGAGAGCCCTGGGAAATGCTTTCTCTGCCCACGTGGTGTGGAAGAGGGTGGCAGGCTGCCTGGAAGAGGAGATGGGAAAGTAGCCCTTGGCCCAGCCCTCGGGGGGGCCTGCGAACGCCTTTCCAGGCATTGGCTTCCCAGGCTGGGTGGCCCCCGGGAGGGGCCGGGACAGACGGGCCGGCCGGCCAGCTCCGTGCTTACTCAAGGCACTCGTCACACCGCGCTGGGAAGGTGTCCAGGCTCGCGGGGGCCTCCGAGAGTTCACGAGAGGTCACAGCCTGTCCCCAGGCCCTCCAGCAGACAATCACCAAAGCCTGACGCAGGCCAGCTCCTGGGGTCCCCAGGTGAATTGAAGTTGGAGCTCAGGTGTCTGGGGGAGGTGGGACGTTAGCAGGTGCCGTAGTCTGGAGGAAGGTGGGCTGAACCAGACGCAGGTGCCCTGGGCGTATGGATGGCAGGGGTGGCAGATAATCTGATTTGGGTTGGGGGTCGGTGGCAGCACGTCGGCCGTGGGAAAGCACAAGCTGCTGCTCAGACAGACCTGGGTTCAAATCCCTGCATCCCCCCCACCGCCCCTTACTATCCATGTGACTCTGGGCTCATTATTTCACATCCCCAAGCCTCTACTTGCTCATCTGTGTGATGGAGAAACGCATACCTGCCTCCCTCGGTGATCGGAACTGGAAAAACGGTGGGCAGTGACGGGCGGGCTGTGGAGGACTGTTTCTCCCCTGCTATCCTGGGGGGGCTTCATTCTGACGCTTGGGTGAGACGTTTGTGAATCCTTCAGCCCTGGACCGGCTGTGATGGGAAGTGCTCAGCCAGTGGGGGCGGCGGTGGTTATTCCTGGGGCTTGGGAAGGCTTCCCGGAGGAAGTGGCATTGAGCCGGGTCTCTGAGATGAGCACAACAGTGTGTGGTACTGAGGCAGGGCCCAGCCTAAGTGAAGGCACAGACGGAGGGGCCATCAGAGCACGTGGCTGGGGCAGGGGTAGGGGGTGAAACCAGCTTGGCCATGTCATGGCAAAGACACAGGCCTTATCCTGGGCACAGCGGGGTCTTGAGGACACTTCCCTAGTTCTTTCGTCCTCTTCCAGAAATACGGAATGGAAACTCAGAAGCACAAGACATGTAAAATTGAACCAGATTTCTACCGAAAGCCCACATTGCATAGTGGGAGAATCTGAGTCCCATTTTCCTCCCCTTTTCCCTGGGCTCGTGTCCAGGTTCCAGAAGGCTTCATAGTGCCAAGGAGTTAGGGTCAGGGGGCCCACCAAGTCTTGAATATCATGTGTCCACGTTGGTACCCACAAGACGTCCATGCAGATGGTTGGAGAGATGCCCCTTGCTCCTCCCCGTTGAGGCTTCCCCAGGGCCTGGAACCTTCTAAGAAGCCCATCCATGTAGCCACTTCCATACTGCGGAAGGTTTGAGCATGAGCAGACCAGTGACTGGGGAAGGCCTGGTCAGTGGGTGGTACAGGGTGGGAGGGCAGATGGGGGTGTGGTGGGGAAGTGCAGGGGCGTGAGGCTTGGGAAGAAGGGGGCTTCCCTGGAAGGGGAGGCCTGTTAAGGATGGCTCTGAGATTTTCTAGGTGATTTATCGAAGGCTCCCATAGAAGCCTTTGCTAAGAGAACCATCTGAGAAAGTGAATGCTAAAGAAAATTACGCTTTGAAGATAAATCGGTCGTTAAACCTGGGGCTTTCACGATGCTTCCTAGAATCGTGGGCCAGGCCAGAGTGGGGAGACGGTATGGCCATTCCTGAGCCAGCTCTGTTCTGGGTCAAAAGAGACGATCCCGGGGCCTTTAGCGTTGTCCCAACTGGGTACATCACGTCCGCCCTCAGGGCCTCAGTTTCCCCCCAGGCGCCTGGCTAATGATGGACTTGGACCGAGTCTCAGAGGACAGTGGGTGGGATTTGGGGCCTCTGGTCCGGGGACCTGTGGGCCAGCGGCTTGACAGATCCCTAGGGGGTCGGAATGCTGGCTGGAGGGGTCCTGGTGGGGGGACCTGGGGCTGCAGAGGGATGGTGGCCAGGCCCTCCACTCGTACCAGCGTGAACTCCAATCCTGCCTTCAGTGGGCCCAGGTGACCCAGATGTGACCTCAGGAGCCCTAGCGAGTGAGGCCCAGGAGAGGTCCACGCCGTTGGAGTTGCCGTGTTAAAGCAGAGAGGCCGGGCCGGGGGGGCAGGGAGGCAGGTGCCTGGGGACAGCACTAAGAGTCCCTCAGAGTCCCTCAAAGCCCCAGACATCCTGCTCTCGGGCACAGATGTGCACCAGGGGCCACAGGCCACAGTTCCGCAAACACGAGCACAGTGGTCGTGTTTGCTGTGGAGGGGGGTCTGGGTGAGCCTAGCACCAACTCAAGGCACTCTCCCCAAACCCAGAGGGGCCCACAGCCATGAACACCCAGCACAGCAATGCAGGCTGTTCGGGGTAGTGCTGGTTGTGGTGACACAGGAAGGAGAGGCCCTCCACCTGGGCGGCTGGGGTAGTAACAACCACAGAACATTCTAGTAGGTCATAAAAACCTGAAGGGAAATGCAGATACGTGCCCATGCTGGAAATTTGGAAAACACAGAAATCTAAGTGCCCAGATGGCTGTCCGTTTTTAGGATGATACATTTCTTCCAGATTTTCCCCCAAGCTTATTAACTTTACATCTCGCTGTTGTTCTTTCTATAAATTTACATGCATACACGCTGAAAACATAAGCATTTTCTGATGTTTTTTAAATGCCTTATGACATTCCCTCATCAGGCTGTTATCATAGTTGTGCAACTGTCCTGTCCCCCAACCGTGGACATTGGACAACTGCCCACACCGTGGACACCTAACCTCTACATCGTGCTTATGATCTGCCAGTCACAAAGCCTTCCCATAGCAGCGCACGGTATCTCCCCCAATAACCAATCTTACAGGAAGAAACTGAGTTTCAGAGAGGTTAAGAAACTCACTGAAGGTCACACAGCTTGTGCCCGTGCCTCTCCAAGCTTTCATCCACACTGGGTCGCTCTTTGCTCCCCCTTCTGGCTGCCAGCATCTCTAACATGGGCCCTGCCTCTCTCACCCTTTAGGCTCACAGTTAATCCTTTGGGTTTATGTATATGCACAACAAAAATATATTGTCAGAAAAGTGTGCGGCTCTTGATCTCGGGGTTGTGAATTCGAGCCCCACCTTGGGTGTAGAGATTACTTTAAAAAAATTATATATAAGGGCGTTTGCGTGGCTCACGCGGTTAAGTGTCTGCCTTCGTCTCAGGTCGTGATCTCAGGGTCCTGGGATCGAGCCCCGCATCACGCTCCCTGCTCAGCAGGGAGTCTGCTTCTCCCTCTCCTGCTCCTTCCCCCATTTGTGCGCCCTCTCTCTCTCTCTCTCGCTCTCTCTCTCTCAAATAAATTTAAATATATATATATGTATGTATGTATATATATACATATATATATATATTTTGCCTGTTTTATGGCAAGCAGAATCTAGGAATACAAAGTAGACAAAAAATCTCTACCCTCATGGAGCTTATTTTCTAATGAGGGAGATAAATAAGATAAATAAGGACAAAGAGCAATATATTTGATAGTGACAAGTGCCATGGAGACATACAACACAGATAGGCCTGTCAAAAGGACAATTTCAGATAGGTCAGCAGGAGTTAAGACCTGAAAGAAGTGAGGGTATGAGCCATGTAGAAATCCCAGTCGAAGCATCTAGGGAGGGAGTCAGTGCAAAGGCCCAGGGGCCCTGGACATATTTTGGAAGTAGGGCTAACAGGATTGCTGATGCAGTGAGTGTGGGGTGTGAGCAAAAGAGTTTGTCCTGAGCAGCTAGTGGGCGAGAGGGGTCAGCATCTGAATGTCACCAAATTAGACACCCAAGTGGCCGAGTTGGACAGGCAGATCTATAAATCAG